CGCCCTTGCTTAACGGAAGCGCGTGCTGCTGCACCGCGGCGTGTCCTGCGGCTCCTAGGACGCCTGCCTGGACGCCTGAGCTGCCTATCTGGACACTGAACGCGGCGAAGGGGTTAGACATGGAAGCACCGGAGGGCGGGGCCCAGTTGGCAGGCAAGGCCGGCGTCCCTCCTGAGGTCGTCAGGTTGTGGACCATGTCGCAGCTGGCTCCTTTCTTGCACGACCCATTCTTGGAGAAAAGGGGCAAACAGTGCCTGGTGGCTTTGCCGCGCCTTTGGCCGCAGCCTTAGGCTTTGCGTTGGCTTTTGCTTTGCCACCTCCCTTCCCTTTGCCTTTACCTTTCGCAGTGGCAAAGGTTTGGTCACCCTTCTTGGCCGCGAGAGCTTTTCTGCGAAGCTCCTTGTCGTGGCTGTACGGGCAGGCATCCCCTTTCGGGCAATTCCCATGATCGCGAAAGTGAAAGCAGATCTTCTTGTCCGCTCCTTTGCCAGCTCCCTTCGACGTAGCAGCATACGTCTGGTCCGCGCCAGCTTTGGCCGCGGCAGCTGCTCCTTTCGCAGCAGCCTTCGCAGCGGCCTTGAGACTCTTAATCTCCTTCTGAGCCTCAGCCAGCGCGACCGCCGGGTCCGCGCTCTGCGAACCGGTGGCCGTGTACACAGAGTGGGAAACAGCCCTGTGCGCTGCTTCTCTCTGCTCGTACTCCAGAACGACTTTGTGGCTCTCCTCCCAAGTCTGCGGTCCTCGCAACCCGCCATCCTTGGGGTCGCCAGGCCACAACCTTTTGTCGTTCCGGATCTCCTTTTGGAGATAAGGGGGCATCTTGCGGAGGTATGAGAGATACAACTCTCGAGGGGTCTTCCCGAGACCTACTGCCTCAAGGTCCGCGATCGAGGCCTCAAACAAAGGCTCGAATTGGTGGCCTGTGAGCTTACCCTTAGCGAGAGAGGCGTGCTCACCATCCACGCGGACTTCTCTTTCCTCCCGCGATTCCCCGAACATCAAGTGTTTGTTCTTGATGCGGTCATACACCGCCTGTGGATCTGAGAGAACCTCTCCCGATTTCCACGCTGCGCGGTACGCGTTCGTGTACGTCTTCATGCGCGAGCCGCGGCAGCGCCCGCGTAGCGCTAACAGCTTTTCGCGCGCACTCATACCGCGACAGTTGTTGGCCAGCGCGCAGACGTCCTCGAACTCCTCGTAGAACAGGACAACGTCTCGCGCGTCCGACTTGTCGTCGGTCAGCGTCGGCCACGTGAGGTCAGTTTTGACCGTAGTTATGGAGCTTTGCCCGCCCCTCTGCGCTAACGCTTCTTTCAGCGCCTCAGTTTGGGCGGCGAGTGCGGCGGCGAGATCGCCCGCCGGGTGTTGGGACCCGGTCTGCGAACCTCCGCCGTCTGAACCTCGCTTCAGGGCTTCTATCTCCATCTCTAGCGCAGCAAGCTTCGCGCGCAAAGGGGAATCGCCGTCCGTCGCGCCCAGGACACGGGCCGCGGAAGGACCACCTGCAACCTCAGCAGTGTGCAAACCTCCACGGTCCAATCCTACCCCCAACCCACTTGCAGTCGCAGGCTGTGGGAGCCCTGGGGAACGCGGCCCCACGGCTTCAACTGGCACATCGGACGGGGAGCTCCAAACCTTCTCTTGGCTCGAGCTTTCTTTTCCCCCTAACGCGAGGATAAGCTCCCCGATGCATTGGATTTCGCGCTGAATCTCCTCCGCGTCTTCGGGGTCCTCGCCACCGCGCAAAGCCGCGACCGAGAACCTGGTCCGCAGCCGACGGACCATCTTCGTAGGATGCCAGTCCCCGCCTATCTTGGAGAACTCATCCGCAAGGAGGGTGGCTTTGGTGCTTAAGGCGTCAAGGTCACGGGAGCTCACCGTGACTCCATGCGCTTTCAGCGCGAGGACAATCCGCGAAACGCGCGTCAAGTAGTCCGCGACCGGTTCTTGGTCTGGACGGAAAATCGCGCGCAGCTCCGCCTGCAAGCCCTCTGCGGTGCCTGGCACTGAACCTGCTGTCGACGGCGGACCGGACGGTCCCGCCGGGCGGGACCCTGGTGCCGTAGCAGGGACATAGGCAGCACCGGTAGGGACCATGGCCAGCTCCCTAGCCGCGGCGCTGACGTCCACCCGCGGCGGACTGTCGCCTCCAGCGCCCGAGGCCTCAGGGACTAGCTCGGAGTCCTCTTCTTCTTCCTCTTCATCCTCGTCCTCCTCTTCGGCGTCATGGAGGAACTTCATGACTTTCCGCCAGAGAGCCGCCTCTTGCTCTGGCGTAGTGCTGACCCCATCCCGCTTGGACAATGGACGGCTGCCAGTCTCCCTACGCCACTTAAGCCAAGCGACGTAGCTCATCCGCTCGGGATAGGGAACGTCTCCACCCTCGATAGCTTCGAGGAGGGTGACGCCCTCAGCCTGACCTGCAACCTCTGCGGACATTGCCGCAACACAAGGCGAAAAGCCGCGCCTTGGTTAGCAGGCCGCAGGCGTGGCACGCGAAGCGCCGCGCCTTGGTTAACAGGCCGCAAGCGTGGCACACAGTCCACGCGTCCAGGTCACGGACCGCGACAGACAAGCAAAGCAATGCTTGCCCACTCGGGCCGTAGGCACAAGAGCTGTACGTTTCCCAGAACAGCCCCCAATTGTGAAGTCGACCAGCACTGGACTTGCACTAAGCCAATGCAATCACAGCCCGGTCACGCTGTTTTACGACTTCGCGAGTCCAAGCACTTGTGCAGCTACGCCTGAGTGCGTCCGGTCGGACCGCACAGCAACCTAGGAGCTACTGTACGACTCTACCGTGCTCAAAGGCACAAGCTCGGTACTTGAGCCAAAATATTGGCATTGTTACGAATTGCAAAACTCTACATGCAAAGGAAAACTACAAGGTGGTCTGCCGAGTCCTAATGCATCACAGAGCAGAAGATGCATATGCACTCATGTCAGCTCACAATATGTATATATATATATATATATATATATATTCATACATACATACATACATACATACATACATACATACATACATACATACATACATACATACATACATACATACATACATACATACATACATACATGTGTATATATGTATGTGTATATATATATATATATATGTATGTACATACACATATGAACATATCATGTTCAGGAATCGCTGCAGCAATTGGTCGATGGGACTTTCCGCAGAATCTTGACCAGAGACCGCGTGCCGGATGATGAGCCTTGGCTCAGAGGATGGCAACTGTGATAGCCCCTAAACCCTAAACCCTAAACCCTAAGTCCGAACCCTAAGCCGAATTTGGTAATTAGACAGTGCAGCTGCAAGGATGCGGTCAATGACGAGGAGATGCCATATCGAATTGAGGCACCCCCCCTTGATGTCTCTTATTGCTCTTGAGGTCCCCGTTCCCTCACATGAGCTCTTTGCAGAAGTCTGAAGCAATCAAGGGTTTTGGGAATTGAGGGCTCAGGGGCATCCAAGCAAATCTACAAGCCTGGAGGTCGTGCATGCCTTCCGCAGCGAGCACGCTTGTGCTGTGCTCAGTTGTCACGGCACTTCGTGGTGGCTTTCCCACAAGTAACAGACTGCATGGAAAGGACCTTACAAGCCCTAAGCTTGGGGGACCCCGCACTCGGTCTTCGACTTGAGGATCCTAAGATGTACCCCTAAACCCTAAACCCTAAACCCTAAACCCTAAACCCTAAACCCTAAACCCTAAGCCCTAAACTCTACAGGTTTCGGGGGTTCGAACTTGGGGGGTCTATGCCCAAGAGCCTCAGGGCTGCACCACCGACTCCACCAGACTCGACAGGAGCCCGCCGGCAGAGAGGTTTTAGGGTTTAGGGTTTAGGGTTTAGGGTTTAGGGCCAGTTTAGGGTTTAGGGTTTAGGGTTTGGGGTTCAGGGTTAAGCCAGACACAAACCAAAAGTTAAAGTTGAACGTTCCAGCAAATAAGAGTCTCGTAGAGACTCCTAAAGGGACCATGGGTAGTTGGCACTGCAAAAGGCTGAGTATCCTGTTTCCGGGTAGGGGGTGCTTCCCTAACCCGGTGAAGGGTGTAGGGTTTGGGGCATGTTTCGGGTTTAGCTACCCCACGCTGCCTTGGACTTCTTCGGCCAACACACACGACCCTAAACCCTAAACCCTAAACCCTAAACCCGGAAGATGGTTGAGTCCTCAGCTCCTTGAGTCTGACTGGCAGGAGGACTGCGAGGACTTCGGCGTGAAGACCAACGCCGTGGAGAGTTTGCTGCAGACCAGGGTGCAGCCAGGCACATCGCCGCCTTTCTGCAGTGCACCAAGCGACCAAGCGAAGCCTGCAGCTTTGAAGGCCCTAAAATACAAGCTCCTCCTCTTGCTCCTTTGTAGCAGAACTTTTGGGAAGTCATTCATGTACCCCGCAAATCTCAGATCCTCACACCTAAGTACTCCTAGCCTTTATTGGGGCCCTGAAGGTGCTTCACTTGGTCTCCAACCCCCCCAGGATCCTCCAAAGCCCTTCCCAAATTGAGAACTTGCAGACTTTTGCCCCCCAAAAATGCTCAAGTTCCTAACTGTCCTAACTCACACGTTGCTACCAGGCTCATTGTCAGCTCCATTTTCCACACGTGCCGGCGTCACCGACCCATTCCTCACCCGAATCGTTTGCAGGTGAATCTTATCTCTTCCACGGCACAAATCCATCATCAGCCGGCTCCTGAGGGTTTAGGGTTTTGGGGGGGGGGGGGGGGGGAGGTTGCGGGGGATGAGGGGGGTCATCTTCAGGGGGGATAAGGGCTTAGGCAAGTCTTGTGAGCCAGATCTGCAAACCTCGAGTCCTGTTGACTGAGGACTTCACAGCAAATGCGAGCACTCATAAGATGGCTGTGGTTCAAGTGCCACTTTGCTACGGGGCATGAGAAATGTTAGCCGCTAATTAGATTGGCTTATCTTCCTGCAATTGACTGGTGGTCACTGTAAGCTCATCTCGTGCATCCTTTTCAGTTCGATTGTCTCAATGAGAGCGGCTCTTCAGTTGTTGGTTGAACCAGATGCGATGCCTCAGACTCGGACGATATCCTTGTACCATGCCCTTCAAGACACCGACTCACCACAAAAGTCCAACACAGAGCAACCCTGCAGCAAGGGTAGAGCGGTGGCTATTTGTTCTACTGAGTTGCAGACAATCATGGAGGTCATACCTTCTGTCTTGGCTGTTTGTTCCATCGAGTCACAGACGGACATGGAGGTCACAACAACACCGGAGTGCGAGAACATGATGGTTCACATGCAACGACAATCTGACACAAACCTCGGCAAGCATGTGCAAGGCAGCTCGAGGTCTTAACTCAACGTATCTTGCTTGTCTGGAGAAATTTCTCGCCCCCAAGCCCGTCGCAGAAAGTAAGTCGTGTGGCTCCCTGGCTTGGAGTGAAGTTGGCATGCAAAGTTCGATGAAACAAGCCCCCATCAGCCGGCGGCATCGGCGGAATCACCCTGAAGCTTCCAACCTTAGCAGTAGAGTAGGTAACCTTTAACCTTTTTGGGTTAATACATTCCCCTTATATTCCCAAAGGTTAACCTTTAAAACCCCTAGGTACTGGACAACTGAGCAACTCCTCCAGACTTTCTCAGGCCATGAGCATCCTCAAGACAGGCTTTGTTCTTGACCATGCGGGCAGCACCCGGCTCAGAGAGTTTCCTCTACTGCTTCATTTTGAATCTTGGGGCCCTGCACACATTTTAGGTTGGAATATTTAGAAGGCGTACCAACATCACGGATGGTGTATCCCCGTCTCATGGTACCTTTTCCATGTTGTAACAGCAACCCTGTACTCAGGTTGCAGGGGTAGGGCTTTTTGTGGCCAAGCTGGGGATCTTTGCCGTTGTCAGGTGCGACCGGAACGATGTATGGAGCCGGGGTGGCGAGCTTATCATCAGTTTGGGTTTGAAGCCCAGACCATATCAGCCGTACGCCGTACACGATCCTGTACAAACCCTGTGCCAAGCTTGTACAATGTTGTCTGAGCCCTCGGCGTTACACCTTAGGCAGCAAACCTCCTTAGCTCCAGGTGTACACGGCGGAGTGTTCGTCTAAGTCGGACGAGTATGGCCGTGACGACGGCGGCAACACGCACCTCGGGAAGCATTCATGCAGTGTGTATATAGATACTTGTTCATATCGCTGCATATGCATATATGTATATATATATATATGTATAAACACATGTGCCATATCATGGCTTGCGGAAGTAGTGTGCAGGGTTGTGTGTTAACGGCAAGTTCAGAAGCTGTCATGCCGCCGCAAGAGGGCGATGGGCCAAGGTACCCCTCCCTGCACGCCATGCTTGTGTGCTCGGAGCCTGGAATCGCACGACGCATCGCTCAGGCTTATAAAACTGGAAACTTCAGGCAGGCATACTCCTAAACCCTAAACCCTAAACCCTAAGCCCTAAACCCTAAACCCTAAACAGGACTTTGTTCAGGTACCGTTGGTATTTGAAGGGGCAAGCCTGTGGTTGCATCTCTCCTGGGCTGGTATGCTCTTTAGGGTTTGGGGTTCGGGTTCGTCACGGTGCCAAAGCTGAGATTGCAGATTTCGCCCCCTCGGCGGCAGCCCTAAACCCTAAACCCTAAACCCTACATCACAGCCCCCTGAGGCAAGTGCTTCGTGGGAGTGCCCTACGTCACAGACGCGGCCGGGGATCATGCGCCGCGGATGCGATCGAGACGCCCTGACTTTAAAACCCTCGATTTTAGGGTTTAGGGTTTCAGAGACCCACAAGCCTGCTGAGAAAACAGGGTTGTGGGTTAGGAAACACGAGGGTTTAGGGTTTAGGACCTTAGGATTTGAGGGGGGTCGTCCAAGTGAGAGCAATTAGGCCCACCAAGCCGGATCTCTGAGGTGCAACAGCCCTATAGCAGCCCCTGAGCCTGCGCAAGATTGAATGAAAGAGTCCCCCCCCCCCCCGCAGACTCCGCGAAATCACTGTAGGGTTTAGGGCTTCGGGTTCGGGAAGTTGTTTCTCTGCAGCTGCCTTCTTGCTATGATGAGGTGGAACATCCCCCTAAACCCTAAACCCTAAACCCTAAACCCTAAACCCTAAACCCTAAGCCCTAAACCCTAAACCCTAAACCCTAAACCCTAAACCCTAAACCCTGTAGGCCCTAGACCCTCAACCCTAAAGGTTCCAAGGTTCCCATGAAGAGCCCCGAGGTCATGACAGCCCGGGATGGAGGTCATCACTGCATTTGCGGAGACCGCGAGGCGAAGGCGCCCATGTGGGGTCTAGGGTTGCCCACCCCCCGAGTCTTTAGGCAGCCTTGAACCCTAAACTTCCCAAACCCTAAGCCCAAAAGCCTGACCCCTAAACCCCTTAACCCCTAAACCCCTAAACCCCCAAACCCCTAAACCCTAAACCCCTACACCCCTAAACCCTAAACCCAAGTGTGGAGAATGGGGCATCCCCAGGTTGTTTGTATGAAGGGGCATCCCGAGCTTCAAAAATCATAGGAAAAAAAGCCTCGAGACTTGAGACGACATTGGGGCTTAGAGTTTAGGGTTTCCCCTGATTAGGGCTGCCCCTAAACGGCCCTAAACCCTAAGTCTTGAATCCCAGGTTGTTGGCCAGCATGTGTATGAGGATGTCGAAGTAATACGGTTTCGAGACCAATAAGAGTGTTGGCATTGACTGGCGGCATATAGGGTGCAGGTAGAGTGACGGCTGGAGTCACCAGAGGCCCGCGTGACCCCCCAAACCCTAAACCCTAAACCCTTGCCGCAGAAACCCTAAACCCTAAACCCTAAACCGCAAATCCCTAACCCCAAAACCCTAAACCCTAAACCCCAAACCCCCCCCCCCCCCCCCCCCCCCCCGAACTGGCTTGGTGGCTTGGGGTCTTTTTGTGTTAAAACCTCTCGGGCCATCTTCCTTGAACCGAAGCGAATGTCACTGGTGGTCTGATGGCATGAATGAGGCTTTGTGGGGTTGGGGTGCTTGCCCAAAAAAGCTTTGCAGCAAAATGTATATTGTGTGTTGAACAAAGTAGCTCCAAACCATTCCAAACGGCTCAAAGACCCATCCTGTGGTAAGTCGCACGATCGCTCGCATTTTCGGGGGGCGAGGCCCGAACTCCGAACTTCGAACTCCCCTAGGCCAACAGGCAAGCTTCATGAGCAGCACAAACCCGAAACTGCACCCTTCCCCCGCCACCCCCCCCCCCCCCCAAAAAAAAAAAAAAAAAAAAAAAACAACAACAAAAGAGAGAGGGGGATCAGAAAGCTATTTGTAAGGCCTTCAAAGGACAAACCCAAAGTCCAAGACCAGGTCGGGACGTACCGCGAGTTCATCTTCTTCGATGAGCGGCAGGCCTGGCTTCAGCTTAGAAGGGTAGGGGTTTAGGGTTTAGGGTTTAGGGTTTAGGGTTTAGGGTTTAGGGTTCAGGGTTCAGGGTTTAGGGTTAGACATGAAGTCTTGAGTCTTAAGCGTTGCACTGAAAAAGGTTCCTGGCCAGTTCGAGGTGCAACAGTTGCAGAGGCTGTGCCTTCAACGTACCTAAGGGGCACGGTATGGATGTTGGACTATTGCCCTCCCAAACTTTGCAAACTTAATCCCCTCCCCTACCCCCCCCCTCCCTCCCCCCTCCCCCCCCTCCTCCCCCCCCCCTACCCCCCCCCCCACCCTCACCGAGTACATTCAGCCACCCTGGGCTTGCAGGTCTATCCGGAGTATGCCATCATCTACAGGCGGCAGTATGACAAGACCAAGGCGCGCCTCCCTTCCCAAATTGCGATGGTACACCCCACCTTTAGTCCGAAGGTTTGGTAGCTAGGGTTTAGGGTTTAAATCCTAAACTTCCGGCCTCTCTGGCTCTTGTTATTGGCAATTCTGGGTTGAGTTCCGCTGGTGGTGAACCGAGTTTGGGCAGGGGCTCAGTTCATGCTAGTGTGTCAGATGCATGTGCGAACTTTTGCGAACATTGCGTGGACCATGGACTTCAAAAATGCTCAAAAAAGTGCGCGTGCAGGGTGTGCCCAGCTTTCGGGTTTAGGGCCAGGCAATGCAAGGCGCAGGTTCGGGACGCAGAAGTCGTTGTGCCCATGCTGAGACCTTGAAGACCCATGACCGAGCCCTCTTAGGCCCACCTCCCCAGAGATTAGTATATCGATCGGCGGGTTGTTGATACATTTTGGGAAGCCCGAGCCCGTTGCAGAGTGTCGTCATCGACCCCAAACCACCGAGTGGTTTGAACTGTCTCAGAATAATACAGCGCCATCTTGGGCCGCAGGCCTTTGTTGGTGGTGCGCTCGGCACAAGCCCTAACCCCTAAACATCCCTAAGCCGATTAAATCCTACACCCATCAGCTTAAGCCAGGCTTTCGATTTATGACTCCCCCTTTGCCACGAGGGAACTGCATTGGAGCGGCACTGGGCCGGATGTAGGGCTTAATTAGGGTGTAGGCCTTGATGATGGAACCCTGACATCGCACATGTGTGGCTTGGACAGCACACACATTATTCACAAAGGCACCCGGAACAGCCCAAAACCAGCAAATCTTGGTCGACTTTGAATGTCCCGTGAAAAGTGACAGGTGCCTGAAGAGATGGTGGTGCCCACAACTGGCCCGTCCCTCTGAGCGGGTTCTAGGCCTAGGTGAGTTTGGGGCAGAACCCTAACACTCTACCAGGGTCCCTTCCCACTACAGTGGTACGTAAGCTTCCCCCGAATTAGGACCTTGCCCCGCCCCGAAATCTGAATTGGAGCTACTTGTGGCTTTCTATCTATAAACCATAAACCCTGAACCCTTCTAACATTTTCGGAAGGAGGCAGGAGGCTCGTTTTGGTCTTTCGAGGTTCAAGGGGTGCTTTTGGGCTGAGATCTGCGATTCGTAGGGTGAGTTAGTGCCTCGGCAGTGCTGGGTTAGAGGGTTGAGGGCTTTATGTGCTTTGGGGCTGGAAAAGTGGTGGTGTTCTCCCAAGAGTTTGCTGTGGGCTGAGGAAGACCCTGTCGCGAAGCTTTGTGAGCATGCACGCTCAACCATCAACCCCGGAACTGAAACCCTAAACCCTAAACCCTAACTTCGGCACGCCTGTCAGGGTTCAGGGGCCCAGGCACGTCATAGAGTCCTGGTAGAAAAAAGGGTGTTAACACCCGAAGAAGCCCGAAACCGTTCGTCTTCGAGGGGAGGAGTTGACTGGCTTGGCACGGCACAAGAGATGCGAGTCGCTACTAGGCAGAATTCACAACACACAGAGCTGTCGATAAAAGGAGTGTCATATAGGCCCACGGCATCGCTCAGCTTTGCAGCTGTAACTTAACCACGTGGTGGATCTTCACAAGCAGTACATTAGTCGTGAAGCTAAACCGCCACACCCTGAAATGCCCTAAACCCTAAACCCTAACCCCTAAACCCTGCATGGTACAGGGTTAGGGCTTCTTGGTGCTCTTGATCCAGGCACAACCGGGCGCTTCTGGCAGATGAAGGCTCCTGACTGGAGGCAAGGGCTGGGCGAAGTTCTCCTTGGGCTGCGGATGTAGGGAGTTGTGGGTTCAGGGTTTAGGGTTTGGGGTTCAGGGTTTAGGGTTTAGGGTTCAGGGTTTAGGGTTTAGGGTTCAGGGTTTAGGGTTTAGGGTTTAGCGTTATGAGTCACAGGTTTTGTTCATCCGCGGGCCAAAAGTGTCGAGCTATGGGGCCTCGAATCTAGCACGCTTGTAGAGTTTCCGGCGGCGCTGTTTGCAGAAGCTGGCGGTCGTTCATACTTCGTTTAAGGGAGTGTTTTTTGGATTCAGGAGGAGGCCCCGAGGCCCGCATCTTGTGTCGGGAGTCTAGACGTTGAGGACTGAGGATGGGGGCTTGCTGAGCTGAAGTTTCTGAACACAGCGCGGTAGATCATGGAGACTTGGAGCGGTGCTGCCTCTCCTGAAGTGTCCGAAGCGTCAATCACTAAGCCCTGAATCCCTAATCCCTAAAGCGTGGAAACCTCTACCCTAAACCCGCGAACCAACACTGATCCCTCTACCGGAGCCCACGTCCGAGGTTTACTTTGTTTAGATTTCGGTCCCCTATGGTTCCTCCCCCGGGCCCCATGAAGCACAAGCAACAAAGAAGGTTTCCTTTTCTGTTCCCTGGATGGGGAACCCTAAGCCCTATAAGCCCTAAACCTTAACTTAAACACCCAAGGCGCCCTAAACGGCAGTTCGAAAGTGCTGAGAAAGCGCGTGAATGGCGCGTGCGCGCGCGTCACGAAGAGGAATGTCCCACCGGAGGTGAACAAGGCCCTGCGCCGGCCCCAGGTATCTGGCAGTCGCTTTTGCTTTTGTGTTTATATAGGGTTGATATAGGGTTTGTAGGGCTTAGTCTACGAACCTTTTTGCAATGAACTTAATTAGTTATAGTGAATTCGTGAATGAGCTAAATAGTTAGTTCTTCTATATACACCTTTGTTTTATAAGTCTTTCTATTGCATTCACTTTCACAGGTGTGCGTACTTATGTAGACATTTGGGGTAGAACGCGTAAGCATGGAAGCTGAAGCAAGATGCTCGCAGACGATTCCACCGCTGGGCAGATGACATGCCCCGAAGCCCTAGCCCCAAATCTTACTGCAAGCAACCCTCTGCACCCTAACCCTAAACTCCCCTTGTGCCCTCTGATTGCTTGTGCTGTTCTGGTTGCCGTGCTTGTTTTCTCCCGTGATTCCGCTTGCCATGCTCTCAGCACTTCTCTGTATTCTCGGCAACCGGTGTCAAATCGCAACAATCCCTGTAAGTCCTGGAAGCCCTCTCAACCGTATAAAGCACCCAAAAAAGTATCAACCCTCAAGCCTCATGAGCCCCAAACCTACTTGTAAAGCCTAAACCCCAAATCCTAAGCCAGCCTATGCAAGCCATCCAAGGGTGCAGGCAATGAAGGATGGGGAGTCGGAGGTCAGCTTGACGCCGGGCACCCTAAAGGTGTTTAGGGTTTAGGGTTTAGGGATGGTTACGTCGGGTTTAGGGTTTAGGGTTTAGGACTGCTTATATCGAGTGGCAAGCCTGTTGCAAAAGGGTTTAGGGTTTGGGGTTTGGGGTTTAGGGCGAGGGCTTCCTTGTCGGGCGTTATTTTCTCCGGGATTTTGGGGGACGAGACCGGGGCTGTAGAGCCTTATGGGGCCCAAAAGGGTTTGTCGGAATTATGTGGATTATCGGCAAATTGTAGGGTTTATATGGAACATAGTATAGGGTTCATTCGCCTAATAGGGTTGAAGGTTTCATATGAAGCCGGGACTTGCAGAGAGTTGCAGCCTTCGTTCTGAGGCTGGGTGGCACCGAGTATGCCAGCTCCCCGGATGAGGGGGCCTTCTCTTTCGTTTTTTTTTTTTTTTCCGGGGGGGGGGGGGGGGGTACAGTTTCAGTCTCAAACAACACTGCTTGGCACATTGCACGCTGCCGCTCACGAGAGGCTCACCAGCAAGATCCCTATAATTTGAGAGCATCTCTGAAAGTGCCAGGTGTTCAACCTGACCGAGAAAAAGGGGACCAACACAAGGACCTGCAGTTGGGCACACAGGGCATGTGATCATGCAGACGCAGAGGTGGGAAAAAACACAAGCTGCTAAAGTTCTTAAAAAAGCAGGACCGGCAACAAAGTTCCGCTCCGTGCACCAATGGTCAAGTGAGCCGAGTAGAGCTAGGCGTCTTGCATCGCTGGTACTCTCATTCGAATCTTTGGTCGACAGCATCCTGCAACCTAGAACCTCACATCATGACGGGTGGCTGGATTCATGAGATGCGCCCCTGCAGAGCAGGGGCACTTCAGCTGCAGAGTCGGAGGCTGCGAAGCAGTGCCCATCCGGTCTCTGCCATGTGGCCTGCAGCTTGCAGGGCTTCGAGGGTTCATGGGCCTTCCGAGGGCCACCGGCAAGAACCCTAGACTGCGGAAATGCAAGCTGGTTCAGTTTGGGAGGGATACGAGGTGCGTAGAGCGAGACTTCGTTGTGAGGCGTCTCAACACTTCCCTTGAAACCCTAAACCCTGAACCCCTGAGGGTGCATCCATATAGATTCCGAAAAGAAGCCCTGGCCAAGCATCCCCGGCCCGAAGGGCGCGGGGCACAGGCCTGCCAGAAGAGAGCCTCAGCCCTCCAGAAAGGTTAGTCGGGTCCGGGCTCCACAGGATTTGTTGCTGAGTCGAGGAGGAGTTTCAGGAGAATGCTCGCCCCCAAGACATCCCAAGGAGCGCTTGTATCTGGAGGTCTGTGAGCAGGAACATCTGGCCTTTGGTGTGCGGTTCCTACTTCCCCCTACGAAGGCTACAGTCGAAGAAGGTGTTAGGCTTGGGGTATGCGATTTTCGCTCTGGTGCCTTAAGTCTAAGACCCAGCGAGGTGTTCCATCGTGGGGTTGAGGGGTTGGGGGGGGGTTTGCCGAGGGACAACGGAGGGGAAGCTTCATCTGATGTTGCACAGCTGGTCCGAAGGGTCAAAGCGTCCCAAGGGCTGCTGGTCCAAGCTGCTCGTACGTGACGAAAAGCATGGGGTTCAAGACTTCAACATCAAGGCCAACCTCCGAAACCTTGAGCCCTAAACCCTTTTGGGGCGTAGGGGAAGCAACGAGAGAGGCGACCAGAGGCCGATGTGGGATGCTTAACAGGGCCTGACGCGGAAGCGCAGTAAACCTCCACACTTTGGTATGCAGTCTTTGGCTCAGAGACAAGCGCTCGAACTTTTCGGGCCGAGCATGTCGGGACGACATTGCCCGGGCCCTACAAGCCCAATTGGCCCATCGGGTTCAGGGTTGTAGGGCTTAGGCTAAACAAGGCTTGAGGGCCTAGGATTTAGGACCCCAGTGGCACCTTCCTCTCCTTTTTTGGGCTCAACTTCCACAAAAGGACTCCCTTTCGTAGCCTCAGGTGCTGTGTAACCGCAGGTTTGAGTATGCTGCAGTCTTCCAAGTGCCTTGCAATCCTGGCGATGGCCGCCTGTAAGTTGTCAGATTGTGCTGTTGTTTGAGAATGTTGCTGATTCGTCGTACCGTCAGGTGCCAAGCCTGTGCCCATCGCATATTTCGTGGAGATGCCATCATCCAATCATGTCTTTTATATCCCTGAGTGACGGGAGGGAGTTGGAAGCTCTTTCACAGCATCGCCTCCTTCCCCTCCCTTTCACGCATCTCTTGTCGGTACCGCTTACACATCGCTTGTTCAAGTTCTGTCTTCGCAGACTCTGCGATTCGGGCATCTTTCGGGTTGGCGAGTATAAGCAGAGGCTTTGAGCGTTTGCAGTATTTTGGAGCAAGACTGTCTAACAAACGGCCGTCCGCCGCGGGGGTTGAAGTGTTGAAGGGTTTTGGTCCAAGTGGGTGCAGAGTGTGAGGGCTTCCAAGCGGTTGTCTAGACTTCAGTGGGAAGCTACAGATTCTAATCGCCTCGTCACGGGAGTGTTGTTGGCCAGCCCCCGTGGCTGAGTAGGATTGCCTCTTCCTGAGTCTCCTACCCAACATATTCAGGAGGCTCATACCCTGCAAATTTGTTAAACCCGAATTCAAGCCCCCCCCCCCCCCCAAGGGCGGCGATGAGCCGTCAGGCGCGCCACCCTGGCACCTGCTTGGCAGAGGGCTTCTCTGAAACAATGGAACATATGGGTAAGCGTCAGCTTGTTGTGGGGCTTATTGGGCTTTTGGGGTCTTGGGCTTCGTGGGCTTGTAGGGCTTATTCAGGGTTTAGGGTTCAGAGCTTTTTGTGAATGGTGCAACGTATGCTGTACCATCCGAGGCGAGTAAGCCAGCAAGCCACCCGCCCTCACCGTATTCATTAGCAGAGTGTCTAGACTCACCCTGATTTGCACACTGCCTACGAACGCCATGCTTTCTTGGTGGTGTGAGCTGCGCACCTTTGCCAAAGACTCGAACTAGGCGATGGGTAGGAAGATGTAGGAAGTATGAAGCGATTATCATAGGTGTGAGCTGGTCGCCTGTGAGCTTGGGGTTCGAAGCTTTTTCACTTGTGATATGGATATTTCATAGGGTTCCCCCTTCATATGCCCCACCCTGCAAAAACATCCTCCTTATGGGAACGCCCCAAAAGCGTACTGGGTACCCATACTTTGGGAACCCCCGCCCCCCCCCCCCCCCCCCCCCCCCCCCATTACGGTCCCATTGTGACTAAGCCTTACTCAAGTCCTAAGACGACTACAATGACCGGAATCGTTTTGTGTGGGGAGCGGGGCTATTCTCAGGGCAAGGGGAATCCTAGATTCCCAACCCTGCGTCGAACGCCACCTGCCAGCTTCGGAAGAGGAAACTCGACACTCTAAACTTGGGGCCCTAAACCCTAAACCCTAAACCTTAAACCCTAAACCCTATACCCTAAACCTTATCAACTCTAAGGTGACGTGCCGACCCCATGCCCGTGCTCGACTTTGGAGCTGAGGATGCATTGAGGCCCAGGATTCAGAATTCAACGGGGATGATTTTTGGAGTTTGTGTGTTTAGGGTTTAGGGTTTAGGGTTTAGAAGTTTAGGCCCAAGTTGGGAGTTTTATCCTAGGTAGGATAAGGGGGACGCTCTTAGCCCTCTTCTGGCTCTCTTAAACAGGGACCCTATTCAGAGGGTCTATATCCCAAGGGTCTCCCTACGTAATCCTATCCCCTAATTGAAAGGTCCCCTTTCAACCCTCAACCCCAGGCCCCTAGTCACTAACTAGCTGGGTCAGGTTTCGCTGGAGGCATGATCGACTCTATTGGGTCTTTTTGGGTGGTGCGCCGATGTCGTCATGCCTGCATGGCGACCTCATGGTAGTGGATACGAAGCGGCTGCAGTTGTCCTTTTCCTATGACTTGCAGTGCGGACGTACTGCATCCCTGCAGCGTGGTTGCGAGGCTGCTAGGCAGGCGGCAAAAAAGCCCTAAGCCCTAAGCCCTCCTCCTGGATCTTGGCGGGTGGTCGGACGTGCCCTGTCCAGCGATGCCCATGTTGATTGCGGGGTTTGGTGGCACAGAGCTGGCCACTGGTGATCAACCCTGAGCCTAGAGCAGGTCGAGAATCCTAAACGTTCCAAACGTTCCAAAGAAGCCCCAAAGACTTCCAAAAGAACCTGTTTGCCTGAGCTTAGCAGCCCGTATACGCCTGCAGGACCATGTTGCCTCCTTTTGTTATGATTATTCTGTTTTTGTTTTGGGGTAGTTCTCTCTTTTATTATTTTTTGTTTTTTTTTTGGGGAGGACCCGAAATCCGAAAAACCCTAAACCCCAAAGGTTCGCCCCCTTGCAGTAGGTTGGCAGAAGCAGCATCCCCACGAGCGGCGCGGCCTCCCGAGGGAGAGCAAGACACAACATCGGCCGAATGGCATCTCGGCGCCAATATGGCGACACCCCAATTCCATACATTCATGTGCTTCCAGACATTCATGTGCACATATATATATGTAAACATATCTTTATTTTATTAAATCAGTTTATATCAATACATATATATATATACACATACTTTTTTCTACACAAGTTCTAGCCCTTCTGGCGAGGGCCAAGAATTGAAGAGCCCTTTTGGCCCCAGATGCTACACTCTACCAGCCACGCGTCGTGCTCATAGCGGCCAAAGAATGGCTTTCGCCCAGAGCCAGGGGACTAAAGGAGGGACCCTTATATTTAGGGACCTATACAAGGTATATACATACATATATATATATATATGTATATAAAAGGGCTATATAAGGTTATATAGGGGAAACAACGCCAAGTCCCTTAAAGCACCAGACAAGACGAGATGCATGTTCTATTTTCAGGGATGTCCTCCTAATTATTTAATCCTTGAACTCCTCGGCCCCTTAGCTCAAGAACAAGTCGTGTAAGGACCCCCTGCAAACCCTGGGTAGGCCCTCGGGACATATTGATATGTTTCCTTCAAGGGTTTAAGAGGTTCATATTCAGGAAAATCTGTCAGAGGTTGGGATGTTCCCCCTAATGCTAACAGTTCTGAATTGGGATGATACTCGGGAGTGTTAGTATAAGGGGGAACATCCCAAGTCAGAGGCTTTAAGCCGCCAACCTTGAACCCTCAACCCTACACGGCTACCGGGCTTCTAACCCCCAGTCGTAAGTCAGAGGCAGAAGATGCAAACCTCCATCGCGTCTCTCCAAGCCCTCGGCGTCCTCAAGGATTAGGGTTTCGGGTTTCGGGTTCGGGGTTTGGGTTTTGGGGTTTGGGGTTTGGTGCCTCCACCACACAGTCGAGGGGGCTGGGATGCAAGGGCAATCCGGGCGAAGTGCGAAGCCTGTTGCAAAAGGGTTTGGGTGAGTTTGCTAGCGCTGTCGTGTGCGCACCATTGATTCTTGTCATCCATCATTTGCACACGCCTGACAGGACAAAACCAAGGGCTTAAGGCAGTTGTTGGTCCGGAGGCTGCTTCTTCTGAGGGCTTTTCGGCTTAAAGCTATGAAAAAAGGAACCCCTTGTTTTGGGTTTATGCAAGACAGGTACATGGGCCCTTTGGGAAAAAGGCCGGTGGTTTGGCTACGACTGCAAAAGTTGCAATTGTAAGCATTCCGTGAGCCAAGTTCACACCTCGTGTGGGATCCGCGGCTTGGGTTGAAGGGTTTGGGGTTTTGGGCTAGGGTTTAGGGTTTAGGGTTTAGGGTTTAGGGTTTAGGGTTTTGGGTTTTGGGTTTTGGGTTTTGGGCTAGCCTTCGAAGATCCTCGATTTGGCTCCTTTCGGGAGAGACTTTGTTGCTGCATAGCACTGAAATGGTATAGCAGTCTGCTCAAACAAGTCACACCCCGTAAGCCCCTAAGCCTCCCAAGCCACAGTTATAGGACCTTCAACCCTACTCCCTGCATGCTACAAATTACAAACCTCACGCCCTAAACTGTGCTTGGCGCGAGGATCCGGCGAAGCGAGGGCGCCGCAGCTCATTGCCGCGAGCTGGGCATTCCCTCCACTACCTGACCCTGAATCGTGGTTCCTTTTTTCGGGTACCTCTTCTTCTCAATGTACTCGAATAATAAAATCAGGTACCTCCAAAAGAGGAAGTACAATTTAGGGTCCAGAGAATCTGGTCCACGGCCCTTTCCATCGTCTGTTCAGCACACGCAATAAGACGTTCTCCAGGCAGACCCCTGTTTTGGGTCTGTCAGGATTTGTCGGAATCCTAGCCCGTAGACAGTACCTTTAACCAAAACCCGACAACCGGGGAACTCCCCAGACTGGTACGCACCCAGGCCGGCGATTTCAAGTCAGGAGAAGACTCGTGCAGCTCGGCTGACGCTCGCGGGGTGTTAGGGATTTTCCTGTGGACTTGTCGCCTGCGCTGTCGGATCACGACGGTCGAGCGCCACATCCACGGCGTGGCGTTGATAGGTTCTGCTTTCACTGCAGTTCCTGCACTTGAGCTTGGAGAGTCAGGTGCAGCGTTCACTTGTTTAACGAACCCACAAGCAGGAGCTGTGAGCTAAGGCTGTCACAGGTCCACCCGACCTTAACCCAGAAGATTTGCTGGAGCTGGAAGACGGCTTGCCCCGTTTCTTGGGCTGCTCAGGAGAGTTGGGGGGCCTTTGGGTGGCCGATCTGCTGCTGTTGAGGGTGTCATGTCTTTGTCTCTATTACATTACAGCAAGGCATATGGTGGTGTGGTAGATTGGATATAATTAGTTTCCTTCTTCTGGCAGCTGTTGATTTATGATCGGACCTCCAGCCTGCTGGCGAAACATGCCACATGTCGCCACTCAGCCCTTCTGTGGTGGATGCACTCCATTCCTGACTGCTATGTCCCATTCCTTCTCATTCTCTCCCTTCCCCCCCTCTCTCTCTCTCCGATATGTTGGACCACCCTATCGGGAGTTCCTCTGCAGCACATCTGACTCATGATTGCAATCGGGCCTTGGGTATCCGCCCCACTAGTACTTGTAATTGCGTCCCTGCTGTCCGAGTTTTTGTGGTGCCGCTCGCCATGCACAGCCACATTCCGGCATGTGCTGGAGTGTGCTGGAGCACTTGAGAGTGCAAGAGCTCTTTAAACAAAAACCAGACTCCGTGCTTCTTCTCCAAGAGGCCACTACTGGGCCAACTGCCCTTAGGGCGCGACATTGCTCCAAGGTGTTGCGGCAGATGCCCTAATGCTCCTGTCGGTGACTCGGTGGTGGCTACACTGTTTAAGCAGTCTTGGAGGTGCGGTCTGGCTTCCCGTGCTGCCCTGGCGAGCTGCTAGGAGGGGGGGGGGGGGGGGGGGGGGGAGCTTTCCAGCTCGCCGAGCGAAGCATGTGGAAGGCACATCCAACTGCTGCCTGGCGAATTCGGCCTTGTCATACGTCCAATGATGTCCAATGACTGCTTGCTCTGCACGAACGAGTAGACCAATACAAAAGAGATGAGGCATCTCAGCGGTTCGAAACATCAAGTGCGCAACAGAGAACATGTGTCACAAGTGGCGGATGAAGGAAACAGAAACGGAATAGGACAAAGCATTACAGTGCGTACGTTCTCGGTGCCCACCAGATACGCCAAGGCAGTTGATTTGTCAACGATCTTGGGAGGCTTACCTTCCTTTACCCAAACCATAGGGTTCAGGGTTTAGGGTTTAGGGTTGCCCTCTTGCTTTTTGTTGCTTTGCTGGGCCTGATCTCCATCAAGGGCCGAAGACACGACCACATCCTTCGAACAGCTTGCCGTTCCCAGCGCAGGGGTTCGTCCAGCTCCACGGGTGGCAAGATCTACCGTAAAGCCTGACTTTTAGCACCCGAAAGCTGGGAGTGCACAATCCCTAGTTCATTCACACCCCCCCCCCCCCCCCCAAAAAAAAAATAAACATCATCATTGAACAACAACACAACAGTTCTAGTAGTAATAAAATAAAACACACACACACACACACCTACCTCTACAAAGCCTCCTGCCCAAGAGCAGAAACCTTGAAGGCAACCTCGAGCAAGCTGAGGTTTGGCGAGTGCGCAGGTGGGCATGCCCACACCTCCCTCCCGCACGGCCCTCCGTGCTCCAGATGCCTCGAAATTCATGAAGATCTTTGAGCAGACTCAGCCTCTTGGCAGGGGTTTAGGGTTTAGGGTTCCATGCAGAGAGTCTTGGTTCAAAAGAAAAACAGTACATGGGTTACGCTGGGATTCGAGCTGCTGGGTATAGGACAAGGGCTGCTGATGAGTGCTCGCTGATTGACTGTAGCTCTGCGGTCTGCCTGTCTGTGCCGCGCAGGAGTCAGCATGGCACTTCCGGTCCCCAGCCCGCGTAAGATGTCTGGGCAAAGGGACGCCCAAGGAATCTCGGGCCCGTCCCACAATACACGACCCCAACACTTGCTCCAAGCGTTGATGCACAGAAACCTGACGAACCCTACTGTATGGCAGAAGAAATAGACCCGAACCCCAAGGGAACCCTAAACCCTAACCCTAAACCCTAAACCCCTCAGCAGGTCCATTCAGCAGGCGGCGACGACGGCCCCCGGACCCGGTGGCTTCGCGCGCCGGGGCCGGAGGTGGACGGTGGTCTCCAACCAGGCGCTTGTAGGGTTGTCCCGCTCCGAGCGCTCTCCTTAAAGGCTTCGTGGGTTTCGAGCTTATATTGGAGCAACGCTCCCCCCCCCCTCCCTCTCTTGAAAGAGGCACCTTTGATTCTTAACAATGAGGCTGGTGGCTGGAATGTGTGTTCGGGCCCAAGACCTCTGTCAAGGATGAAAAGGAGCAAGCTGCTGAAGGTTCGGGGGGTGCGGAGCCGTCCCTGAGGTTCACGCCATGGCCAACATCAAGCCTCCCGAAGAGGATGCCAAGTTGAGCCCGAGTGAGCGCAGCATCAACCGGAACTCCGTGCGCCTAAGCAACCTCCCACCCAGTCAGAGGGCCAGCACAGCCCTGCCGCAAGGGAGCAGAGGCGGCCTGTGTTGTGAATGTTGTGCCCTAGCCTTCTGAAAGCTGGCACCGAATTCTAGACCCTCAATTGCAGTTCCTTTTCTGCGGGGGCAGGTAGAACTTCTCGTGAAATTGGCACGGCCCAATCATCTACTGCGATGCATACGTGCCCCAGATGTGTAGGGCGTATGGTTCTGGTTGGCACTTCGGGGCCAACAAAATGCTAGAAGCCCGAACCTTTCACCCTCGCCAGGCAGCAAGGCGGGAAACCTGGATGAGTTGTTTGATGATGGCGAGCTGGATCTCAAGGTCAATGCTGCCAGCAGTTCGACGGACGCGCGGACCTGGAAGGGATGGTACAAAATCCAGTCCAAGGCAAAGACCGATGCCGAAGAACTGGAGGCCGACACAGCTGCAACCTTTAATCTTTATACCTTAAGTGTCCTGTAAACTCCCATTGTTTGGTGCGGGTATAGGTGCTGGTGTTGGTGTGGTTTGGTTTGTTTGTTTGATACTGTTTGTTTGGTTGTTTGATTGTTTGTTTGCTTGATATTGTTTCCCACCCTCGGTGTGGGGTTGTTAGGATTTTAAGCTCAACTCTTCTCCTCCCCCGAAACTCTTCTCCTCGCCCGGTCTACTCCTCGCTCATCCCTGGAGTGCCCAACCCAAAGTGTCCCTGGCGTGCCCATCGAGAGTGCCCAACCCCAAATTCTGCCTGGATTGTCCAATTTCAGAGTGTTGCCGGGGTGCCCAGCCCCAGAGTCTCCCTGGAGTGCCCAACCCAGACTTTGCAGAGTGTCCCCGGGGTGCCGACCTGGAGTTTCCCTGGAGTGCCCAACCCCAGTCTCCCTGGACTGCCCAACCCCAGAGTGTCCCCGGCCCAGAGTGTCCCTGGAGCAGAGTATCTCTACCAAGAGAGGGTGGGGATGTTCGAAGTAAAATAATTTGTTTGTTTGTCTGTTTCTAACTGTTTGTTTCTGTTTGTTTCTGTTTGTTGCTGTTCGTTGCTGTTGCTGCTTCTGGTTTGTTTTCTTTCGTGCAGGGGGCCTTCGGAGCGCCGGCGCCAACGTCTGTCTTGGAGTCGCTTACGGCTGCGCCTGCCCAGACTGGGGCATCCCAGCAGGTCGTAGAGGCTGCAAAAGCCTGGGGAGCAATCCGCGAGGAGTCTGCAGCCGAAATGGAGGAGCACACGAACTTCGCAGACGGCCTGCCGCCGGGCATAGGGAAGCTTGCTGCAATGCTGGTGAATCGGTTTGGTTCTTTGGAGAGCCTTGGCAAGACTGTGAAGACCTTTATATGAGCGACCGCATTTATTACGTTGCAGGAGGTTTCTTGTGGCGGAGATAATAACCTTATGTCATGCCTGAAACCTCGGAAAGCGATAGGCCCCCCCCAAAAGCGATACCCTGAATCTTGAACCTAGAAGTCGTTCTGCAACAATGCGAGGCTGGGTGTTATTCCAGAGCGATACTCAAAGCGATAACCCTACGATACCCATTTGGCCACCCGAAGAGCTGGGCAAAGGCCCTGGCCCAGGTTGAGGGTTCGAGGTTTAGGATATGGATTTGTTTATAGGTCCTGAAGAAAGGAACGGGTTTAGGAATTCAAGAGTTTTCACGGTAGGGTTGCAGGTTTCGGGTCTCATATGCAGTAAAGCGATAGGTTTTCGTAGCAACATTGAGTTAAAGTCCCATAAAGCGATAGGGCCCCCCCCAAAAGCGATACCCCATGATTTTTTAATTAGCATTTACATAAGATTTTTTGCGGCTGCTCATATCGTTGTTTTCGTATGCCTGGTACACGAGACTACGTAATCACCAATAGATTCCCCTGGAAGCTACACACAAATACACCGATGTGACACTTGCACCTGCCGGGCATATGCAGAGCAGCCCCCGCGCCAGCTTCAACCCCAAAAAGGAGCTTTAAGCCTAACTTTGTTCCCCCTCCCCTCCCCCCTCCCCTCCCCCCTCCCCCTCTCCCCTCCCCTCCCCTCCCTCCCCCCCCTCCCACTCCCCTCCCCCTCCCCTCCCCTTCCCCCTCCCCTCCCTCCCCCCGCCTGCCCTCCCTCCCCCTCCCCTCCCCCTCCCCCCACCATCCCCCGGCTGAGCTACTACCGATATCCCGTTGCTGCTTGTTGGGTGGTGTGTTGGTTGAGGGGGGCCAGTGGACCGAAACCTTGAAGCCTTGCCTGCCCTGTGCGAGCGTGAGCATCGAAAGCCCAAACCAGACTCTTCTTTTGTGGAGCTGATTGACTCTTTCTCTGTTTATTGCTTTAACGGCTGGGTGCTTTGAATTCAGACATCAGAAAAACTATCTTCTCTGGTCGGTTTCCCGTCAATTTCAGCAGCCTGTAGGGTCAAAAGCGCCCATACCAGTGTTTCAATCGCATCACCCGGGCCGAGTGCATTTCTGCCCTGTCAGCGCATGTCGTCTGGTATTTTCTTCTCCCAATCCCTTTTTGAAGCGTCCGAAAAAGAATGGGCGCCGTATTATCCGCTGCGCTGAGGAGAGCTTTCTGCAACTTCGACTACAACCGCAAGGGGAAGATCACGAGAGGTCAGTGGCAGACGGTTTTTGCCACAGTTCGAATCGACGTGCAGGAGGCCACAAACATTCCGAGTAAAAAGGTGCCCTTGCCGGCAAGAGCATGTTTGCATTTCTGATCCTCGAAGCTGTGCGACAAAGAAAAGCCCAACCAAAGACCTCAAAAGCAAGAACAACCAAAGAGGATAAACCCGAGAGTGCCTCAGAACAGGCCCTATCTTCGACCCAAATGAGAACGCCTCGAAAGGTATTCCGGATGATTGCCTCCCTTGGGAATGCGGCCTCAACACTCGAAATCACCTTTGATCAGTGGCGCGACTTCTTCGAGCAGAATCTGGCCGACGGCGAGCTCCCACTGAATGCGAGGGTGTAAGAAGGGTTTAAAGGGTTTTAGAGGGTTCTGGTGCCAGAGTCTGGGATTGAAGAAAATTGTATGTATATATATATATATATATATGTAATACATATGTTCGTGTGTTGGCATGGTGCCGCCTAAACCCTAAACCAGAAGCCTGTTTTGTAGGACGCACCCTAAAACTCCCTAAACCATACAGCAAGCTGCTGTGTATGCATTGCTATTTCAAATGACCTCCAAAAACCCAAATGTTTCTTAATTTATAAATGATCTGTATATTGTGCGCCTTAAATCACACCTTGGTTCTTTAGTGATACGTTTAGTCTTCCGGGATATTTGTTGATACTCGTACTGTTTTTGTCATTGCAGAGTGATGTCGATGTGTCCAGTTGAGCGGAACTAGCTGGTTAAGTGAGATCTGCTTCTGATGATGACAGCAAGGGCGTCGCTTTGAGCGCCTGCTCCCTCAACCCCGAAACCCTAAAGCCCTAAACCCTGAAACCTGAAAAGCCCTAACGTCTACAACCCCAAAGAGCCTAAACGTTAAACACTGAGCAAATGTAGCTCGAGCACCCATGCAGCGTGGATCGAGGGGATGAACCACGTACCCTCAACTTTGCTGCCTCTTTGGCATCGTGCGGCGGTCATGTGCGCATCCTGCAACAATAGAACCCGTTCCATGCTCCAAAGCGTGAGTCGACAGGCTTCCGGGCTGAAATCACATAAGCCGCCTGCTTTCGTGCAGCACTTCTCCGAAGACGGGTCGGAGAGCAACCCAGTCTCAAACAGCTCCAGCGAATGGCCGGCAAGTGGCCGCAGCAAGTCCCCCACCGTCCAAGCATACGGAACTCCGCCAAGTGGAAGTTGCAGTTCGCAGATATCGCAGGTTCTGGGACGCGTCGCGTCTGCAAGCGACGTGAATGGTGAAGTGAGGCGTGGCCACAACATGACGGGCGTCGTCCTTAAAATGGCCAGCACGGTGTACGGGAGTGGCATATGTTGAAAGCAGGCCGGCGAGAAGCATCCTGAGGAAGTTTTGCTGTGCGGAACAGCAGAGTGCCGGGTATTTACAAGGGGGGTGGCCTGTATTCTTACGATAAGCCTGGATTCTTAGGCTTGAGCTTGCTTTTTGGTGGTAGCCTGGTGTTTTAGAGTTGCTTCGCCAAGTGGCGCAAAGCAGATACTCAGCAGGGCTGGCATCAAATCGGACTGCACGCCCACCCTCCGTGGGCGGGTTGTCCTTTTGCGTTGTTCATGTCCTTGCTGGCGGCAAAGTGGCCAATAGGGCGAGACCGGAACCCACATGAAGCTTCGCCCACTTGAACAAGTCGTGTTCGCCCCAGGAATGTTCCTTCCTTCTGGCTGAAGATCGGGGCACTCAAGCCCCAAAAAGATGGGCGCAGGTGAAGAAGATGGTTCCCAAGGCAAGCTCCCTCAAGACTCGTCTGTTGAGACATTTTTTGTGGGTTTTTTGGAAGAATTGAAGGTTGAAAAGTAAATGAGATTCTGTGCTTAAGTCGGTTCATGGAGGAACCAAGGCTTGTGCCGAGGGCCTGTCAAGTAGCAGGCTGGTTCTTAGCATGAGGAGCACTGGTCCAGGGTTGGAGTTTAGGGTTTAGGGTTTAGGGTTTAGGGTTTAGGGTTTAGGGTTTAGGGTTTAGGGTTAGGGTGTTGGAGTCCGTCCGTCCGTTTATCGTACTTAGGACCCTACCTTGCTCATGCCTGCAGATTTAATTGGGGCCTTCGGATTTTGGTCAGGTGTTTGCTCGGGCAGTTGCATAGCGTACGTTGAAGACAGGTGTCTGCTTCACCGGTATACAGCTTGGGGTCTCCAATGATGTGGCAGGCTTCTTGAATACTAGGCGCCCGGTTCCAGACTCGCCACCCTCAGCACATGAATGGTAAGCTCCTAACCTACACGCGCAGGCGCTGAAAGTCTTGGTGGAGCACATCGATGAGGTGGAAGCTTGGGCGGCAGAGATGTCGGGCTGTAAGATCTAGATGTTTTGTGTTCATCAGGTTTCGAGGAGTTTGGTCTGGACGTTCAGGGTTTAGGGTTTAGGGTTTAGGGTTTAGAGTTTATATAGGGTTTGGGGTTTAGGGACACGCGCACAGCCGCCTGTGTGAGGGCTTGAAGGGCCTTGATGAAGCAGCGCAAGCTAGAACAGCAGCTATTCGGGGCCCCGACAACCACGTAAACATCAGGATCCTACTGTTGGGGTATACGTGCCCCTATGAGGGCGATTTTGGAAAAACCAGGCTTGTAGAATCCTGGCATTTATGTGTGTTTTTTTGGGCCCCTAATCAGGTGGTTTTCGACTTGCCGGAAGCACATCACAAACTCCGCGTCGCATAAAACAGGGGTCGGAATCATTACTAGTAGCATCCCCTTAAGGTCCCTTTACATTTATGCTATAGTAACCCCCCCCAAAGCCTCTTCTAATCATTAAGGCCCCTATATCTTACGCAGCATGGAGAGCAAGGCAGCGGAACTGGAATCAGGTTGGATGTTTACCCAGTCGAAGAGATCAAAGAGTACCGCTTTTGTTTGCCTCGAAGTCTACAACCAGTCAAGAAATAATCTTAGCCGATTCATCCGGACTTCAAGAAGCCGTTAGTACCGAATTTGCTTCTGTAGAGGTCCCTAAACCCTAAACCCTAAACCCTAAACCCTGAACCCTAAACCCTGAACCCTAAACCCTAAACCCATATGAAACAATCCCACCCAATTCTTACGGACTACAAGAGTCCCAGCGGCGAAATGCGCAGGGCTGAGGACACCTTGTTGCAACTGCCTGCTCCAGGCCCTGAAAGCCTAAGGCCCTACAAAGCCCTAAGCCGAAACACAACCCAAGGTCTGAAGGAACCCACCCCCACCCCCCCCCCCCCCCCCCCCCCCCCAAACCTAAACCCTAGCCCTAAACCCTAAACCCTAAACCCTAAACCCTAAACCCTAAACCCTAAACCCTAAACCCTAAACCCTAAACCTCCCCCCAGACCGCTCAGGGCCCGAAAGGCCCTAAGCCCAGGAGAAGGAAGCGTCCGCACTGAGGGAGTACATCAGCGGGGAGGCCCCAATCGACTCCGGGCCCTAAACCCTTATCAACCCTAAACCCTAAACCCTAGACCCTAGACCCTAAACCCTGAACCCTGAACCCTAAACCCTACACCGTAAACCCTAAACCCTACACCCTAAACCCTAAACCCCCAAAGGGTTGATGCTGTAGGTGATGGCCGATGCAGCAGCGCGGTCAAAAATCTTGAGTCTGACTACTGGGCGTCTAGGTGTAGGGGAGCTCCTGTAACATCCGCATGTAGGACCAGGGCCTTTGCTTTTTTTGGGTACGTTGTCCTATACCGTAAATCATCTGAGGGTCCTCAGCTGCAAGCCCTTCACATTGGGCTCTTTCCTGCGATGCCCCGCAGTTGACTGGTGTACTTAGGTTCCTCCGACATTGGGTCACCTAGTCTTAGTAGTAGAGTAGGCAACCTTTAACCTTTTTGGGTTAATACATTCCCCTTATAATCCCAAAGGTTAACCTTTAAAACCCCTAGGTATTGGAGAACTAAGTAGTGACCTAGAGGGCTGTCTTGATGACTTCGCCTTGGTGGCGAGGGTTCGGGGAAGGAAACCCTAAAACCCTAAACCCGAACCCCTAAACCCCTAAACCCCTAAACCCCTGAACCCTTAAACCCCTAAACCCCTAAACCCCTAAACCCCTAAACCCCCAAACCCCTAAACCCCTAAACCCCTAAACCCCTAAACCCCTAAACCCCTAAACCCCTAAACCCCTAAACCCCTAAACCCCTAAACCCCTAAACCCTAAACCCGTAACCCCTGAACCCCTAAGAATAGGTAGGGTGGCGCCCTGAAAAGGATGGCCAGGACATCGAGCCGGCTGAGATGGACGGTTGGTCGTCTGACTCAGAGCCCCCCTGGCCTGATAAGCCTGGAAGGGTGGAATCTTCGGTTCGTGGCTTTTAGGGCGTTTTATCCCTGAAGGCCCTGAACCCATCGAGGATGGGAGCCTGTTCTTCAGGTCTTCTGGGGCGTTTCAATGTCAGTAGGCAACATTTTTGATCAGGGGCGGTGAAATTTCTCAACACACTCAGCTGACGATGGGCCTATTATTGGGGACTTACACAGGCCTTGTAGGGCCTGAGAGCTTAGGGCTTAGGGCGTAAGACCCATCCGCCAGCCTAGCTGCAAAAAGTCGGGGTAACCTCAGGGAACGTGGGCCCTCGCATGAACCAAGGCCCTCAAGCTAGAAGTCATTGACCCCACGGCTCCACACGTAAGGAGTCGTAGCTACTAGTAGCTAGACTTTCAGGAGTATTAGCTACTAGACTTTCTCAGGAGTATTAGCTACTAGTAGCTAAATTTTCCGGAGTATTAGCTGCTAGTAGCTGTAATTTCGGGATCAGGGCTTAGGGCTGAGCATGGTTTGTGGCTTCATGCAGGCTGAGAGGATGGTTTAGGCCCCCGAACATGCCCGTATATGCCCGTGAATGTGGCAAAAGCAGAGCCCTCAAACCCTGAAACCCCGATTCCTTCAGGGCATCCAGTGACTCGGATGGTGAGGAGGCGGGCAGTTCGCGACATCGGGACAAAGCAAAGTGTCGAGGCTGGAACTATCGCGCCTTTTGGGGGTCTAGGGGTGTGGTGATTTCGGGGTTAGTGTGCTTTTCCTTGCACCTCCTTACCAGTCCTGGGTAAAAAAAGTTCATGAACTCTACAGTAGAGTTTGAGGCGAAGTTGCGTGGCAGGTCACTGAAGGCCTGCAAGTTGGGCGTTCCCAGAGAATGTGTGTAGGGCCCTGGGGCTCTGAACAGGGCTGGGGTTTTGGGATGTGAAGGTCTGAGGTTTCAAGGACCAGACACGGTACCTAGAAAATGTTCAGCAAGAACCCTTTCCTGCCAGTTTTCAGACCTGAACTTTGTTTTTTGAGAAGAGGGTGCGGTGTGTTTCCCTTTGCCAAGGCGCGGCGAAGACGGAGAGCAGGATGGCTCGTCTGCAAGTGATGGGGAGGAGGCTGCCTCGGCCTCCTGCAGGTCCCTGAAGCGCGGGACGGAGGAGGGCTCGGCCACCGCCTCCAGCGCGGTGGGGGAGCCGCAGGGCGAAGATGCCGAGGATGCGGCGAGTTCGGCCGCCTTGCCAACCAGCACCTCTACAGAGCCGCCCAAAGCCCATGGCAGCCATGCCCTGGACGACAGCAGCTCGGATTCAGAAGCGGAGGGCGCGGCGGCTGAAGCCCCGAGCAAGGGTGGCAAGAAGGCGGACCACCAGCACTCGGGAGTGGATGCCCGGCGCGTGAATCGAGACAAGGTGGGGCCATGTATTAATGCTTAATAAACAAGACGCCATCTTCTCCTCAGAGGAGATGCTGACTGTTGAGCCAAGTGAGCTTTGGCCTCAAAGCCGTACATACCCCAAACTGGAAGTCTCGCAGCTTAAACCCCGAACCCCACAAGCCGCAATCTATTAGTTTGTGTGTATATATATATATGTATATATGCACATATACATATACACATGAATGTGTGTGAACCCCGTCAGGTCATGAAGGCCTTCCAGGAGCGCGACGACACGGCCATCGCCCAGCTGAACGACGACGAGCTCCAAGCTTTGGCCGAGACTCGGAGTGGCTGTTGGAAAGAGCTTTCAGGGGTTTAGGGTTTAGGGTTTAGGGTTTAGGGTGGGGTTTTGCCGGTTTCGGGCTTGTCGGGTTTAGGCTTGAAGGGTCCGGCTTTAGGCATCCCGTCCTAGAGGCATCTAAAAGGGTTTAGGGGCTTCAGGCGCAGAGTAAGTATCGAGCTTTCGGCTGAGAGGGCTGAAAGGGTGTGCAGGCATACATTTAGCCCTAAACCCTAAACCCTCAACCCTGAACCCCTAAATTAGGGCTTCTGGGCTTCCAGGGCGCCTGTGGAGCGTCTGCAGGGCTTCTCGGGCTTGGGGCTTGTTGGGTTGAGGGTTTTGTACATCATTCGGGTTTAAGCGGGCTCAGGGCGTTTAGACAGGCTTTTCGGGTTTCCGGGAGTAAGAGCGTTCGGTGTGTCCCAAGTACAAGGCAGTTCTGGGGCGAGAAAGCAAAATGGTGTAGGATATACTTTCTCGACAGTATTTAGTAGGAAGCTCTGAGATTGGGAACCGCGAGTTCCGGCACAGAACAGTATATGGCGGGGAGGGCGGTACCTTCACCACTAAGAACCAGGTTCTTTCGGGCTTTAGGGTTTGAGGGTTATAGGGCTCCCTAAACCCTAAACCCTAAACCCTAAACCCTAAACCCTAAACCCTAAACCCTAAACCCTAAACCCTAAACCCTAAACTCAATGGGATCTACAGGGGTTCGAGTCGAGCTTGCCTTCTAAATGCCAGGAGCAGGTGCAGCTGCAGGAGGAGATCGAGCAGTTCCCCAGTCGCCTTTTGAAGCGCCACATATACGGATACTTCCAAAAAAGGGGGTACCCTTAATTTTCCCCAGAATAGTACAATCCTGACTGTAGTGATTATAGGAACCCCCCCAAAAGAGTACCCTATTTTCGGAAACTCCCATATTGCGGTTGTAAGATGTTTGACTGTTGATCCATGGCCTTGCGTGATCATCGGCGTAGATAGTCTCAGTGTGCTTTGGGGCAGCTTGGACTACTGTACTGCAACTTGTCCCAGTGGATGCTCGGAGCTAGTTGCAGCAATGTGGTTGAAGAGGGCTTGCCACAAGCCTTTTAGGGTTTAGGGTTTAGGGTCTAGGGTTTAGGGTTTAGGGTTCCACAAGTGGTGCAAGGTTTGACCTTTCGAGCATGGATGCTTTTGCCTACGTCCTCCTGGCAAAGATGGGTTCGTTCAAGCGGGCCTTTCGCTGGTTCGATTTCAACTGCTCTAAGAAGATCACAAACGTCACCTGGGACACAGGTGGGGATTTCCGACCAAAGAGAGCCCCCGGAAGCTCGACATCAGATAACTCTGAGAAGCTGCCTTGCAGGGATGTATCTCCAGCGACCCTTGGTCGCTGTGCCTGTTTGTGCTCGATGACCATATCGTGTCAGGGCCCACCCTGGCGCACGCCGCGTCCTAAATCCACCGTAGACCCTCAACCGACTTGGATGCGTGAGTGTGTGCTTATGACAATGTGAGTGCGCGTGTGCGCCTGTGCGTGCGCGCATACTTAATCGCCCGCTGCAGGAGGCACGCATGCCGGCGCCATCACCCACCGGCTTGCCGCGCGCGAGTGTGAGAGTCGAAGCCCTGACAGGTATTCTGCTGCTCCACGTGGACACGGAGAAGCTTACAGGGCTAAAGCCCAGCCAAATCTTCTACCGCATGGACACCTGCACCGAGGCCCCGCCCAGTGGAACCATCACCAGCGCCCCGGCACGAGATGGCCCTCAACTGGTGTGGGGGTGGGGGCCAGTGGGGGGTTCGCGGGGGAAAGGTTTCCGTTGTTTAGTCTTCTTTCATTTTGTCTCGTCTTGATTTGGGGTTCTAAGGGTCTTCCACATGGTGCTGCTGGATAGAACCGCCGGAGGTTTTGTTGCGCTTGGGCACCCCAAGCCACAAATCGTTTGACTGTGTGAGTGTGTGGGATGTCCTGCCTCAAGCCACGCAGACGACCCTAGTCTGTTACTCATGAACGTGAGAACCCCTGAGTACAAGCACTGCGTGGGAAACAAGAGAAGACCAAATAAACCTTCGATACGACGTCTGTCAACCCCCGAGCCGCCAGCGGCAACACTTCCAAGTGGCCCGTACGGTACGTACGCTCGCTTTCTATAAGCTTGCTGGGTGCTTTTTGTGGGAATGTGGATGTAGACTGAGAACTTGTGCCACATTGTCCCCGAAGTCACGCGCGTTGTTGGTGCAAAAACATCTCCCGTTGAGCTGAAAGCGTGCCGTGTGGGTGTTGGTTCTGTATGGTGGCAGTAGCCCTCGTGTGCGAACCCCAAGTTACAGAAACAATGGGCATGTCCGAAACCAGTGGTTCCCCCAAACTACCACAGCCCTTCTGGCAGGTGTGGGTCTTGGGGGCGTGAGCGTCAGCATCCCTTTCTGTAGGTCTCTGACACTTCTTGAAGACCTAGTTAGGTTCCCTTGAAGCTCACAGGAAAGAAGTGGAAGTTCTTCTTCAGTGGCTTCAAAATCCCGGAGGAGTTGCAGAAGCAGCTGGAGGACTGATCAGCGGAACGCTTCCCACTACAAACCCTAAAACTCCCTTCAAAACCCCAAGCCTCAAACCAGGAATCCTAAAGCCCTATTGGGGTTTCAGCTTCTCGGGTTGGGAACGAGCATGGCAGGAGCTCGAATTACACGAGGTCTGGGGTCGATGGGTTTGGGATTTGGTGGCTTGGAAGGGTAAAGGGCTTAGGGTTCAGGGTTAGGGGTTAGGGTTTAAGGTTTAGGGGTTAGGGTTTAGGATGCTTAGGATCGCCACAAGTCCCAGTGAGCTCACATACTGTGTCGCATCATGTGACACGGTTCTCGTGGTGCCCGCTGCCTTTCTCGTACCACATATCATGTATATCTATCTATATCTATGCATGTGGTCCTATATACTTCCATATTTGTCGTTTGTAATGTCATCTATTAGCGTATTGTCTTTGCAATGTCGAAAGTTAGAACGATAATCTTCAGAATCACAAAGGGCGGCGCAGAGGAGCTGCAGGGAAGTCACAGTGGCAGCAGGCATGTCAGCGGCGCAGCTGGAGAAAATCCAAAAGCTCGCTCTTACCATCGACTCACACCCCCAGACCTTACGATCCTCCTCCCAGGGGGTAGGGTTTACAGGGTCCAGCCTTGAAAAGAACTGCGGAGGAGAGGAGGCATGCTAGTAGTCATCAAGTCCGGTTTCAGAAGGGTTTTTGGGGGGTTTAGGGATTCGGGGCTCAGGGTTCATAAGGCGCAGGGTTTTGAAAGCCTGAGCCCTAAACCCTAAACCCTAAACCCTAAACCCCTAAACCCCTAAACCCTAAACCCTAAACCCCTACAAAGCCAACATCAGCCTCTCAAGGAGGGGAAGACCTTGCGGAAGAGGGCCGCTGCGAGGATGAAGCAGTACCGAAGACGAGGAAGCCTTTTCCGAGGCACGGCTTGGGGTTTAGGGTTTAGGGTTTAGGGCTTAGGGTTTAGGGTTTACGGTTTAAGGACTGCGTTTCCAGGGCATGGTAAGCCATGGGTAGAAGCTTCTCATAGTTTCGAGTCAGAATAACAACCACATAGTACTTTGAGCAAGGTGATTCTTTTCATAGGGAATACACTGCCAACGCAGGAGAGGCTACGCCGGGTGGTTTCACTCTTTCGTGGGAGGGCTTCCCGTGCAAAAGACCCGCATGGTGTTGGTAGCTGGGGCCCAAAGACAATTGCAAGGTTGTCTGGTTTACTTCAAGATCACAGGCGCCCGACGCATGTGATGCCAGAGGCTAGCAGCGCCGGCCGCGCATGAAGATTCTCTTCGGCTGTGCGGAGATGCCAAGCAAACCCAAAAACTGAGAGTCGAAGCCCTTAAGTGGCCCCCCAAAAACCCTGACTGAGTCGAACCTTGCGTGCGTACATCATACCCCACCTCGGATGTTGTGGAGGAGAAGGTCGCCTTTCGCCTTAAAGTGCCGAGTCATGGTCTCGGGTTTGATACGACCTGGCCGAAGTTTTTTTTTTTGAACGGGAGAAGTGCAACCTTGGACGAGGCCCAGGTTGCGACCACAGGCGTGTAACTTGAAAATGGGGCCCTCCAAAATTTTCAGCAAAAAATCGTGTGCCAGCTCCCAGGTCCGGCCATAGCTGTGGAAAAAAGTAGCTATTTTTCGTTCATCATCAGCATTGCAGGGCTCGTTTCCCTATCTTAGCAGTAGAGTAGGTAACCTTTAACCTTTTTGGGTTAATATATTCCCCTTATATTCCCAAAGGTTAACCTTTAAAACCCCTAGGTACTGGACAACTGAGCTATAATTGCGGGGAGGAGGTAGTTAATGATTAAGTGGCATCGGTCCGGCTGTCGGGGCTCAGTGGGCCGTCTGCCCTAAACCCTAAACCCTAAACCCTAAACCCTAAACCCTAAACCCTAAACCCCTAAACCCTAAACCCTAAAGTTGGGTTCGGCCGGTCCACACTAACAGTCAAATAACGCCGTGGCCTTATAACACACAGGCCAAAAATAGCACCAGGAATCCCAGTCAATTTTAGCATTTACCGGGTGCTTATTTTTGTGGGTCTGCTGGTGGTGACTGTTAGTCACATAGCACCAGCAACAGCACCAGAAATAGCACCAGAAATAGCACAAACAATAGCACAAAAAATAGCACCAGAAATAGCACAAACAATAGCACAAAAAATAGCACCAGAAATAGCACAAACAATAGCACCAGAAATAGCACCAGGAATCCCAGTCAATTTTATCAGCTTAGCATTTACCGGGTGCTGTTTTTTGTGGGCCTGCTGATGGTGATTGTTAGTCACATAGCACCAGCAACAGCACCAGAAACAGCACCAGAAATAGCACAAACAATAGCACAAAAAATAGCACCAGAAATAGCACAAACAATAGCACAAAAAATAGCACCAGAAATAGCACCAGGAATAGCACAAAAAAATGCACCAGAAATAGCACCAGGAATAGCACCAGGAATAGCAGGAATCTCAGTCAATTTTTTGGCATTTACCGGGTGCTTTTATTTGTGGGTCTGCTGGTGGTGACTGTTAGTGTGGACCGGCCGAACCCAACCCTAAACCCCTAAACCCTAAACCCCTTTTTGTGCGTGCACCTACAATGGGTTCCCAGGTGGCCTCGCCACCGAGTGCTTCATCCAACAGCCCCTTTCTAAGCTAGGTACTAGGTAGGACCTTGGGATATTCTATATTTTCTCTTATTAAACTAGGTGCTAGGTAGGGCCTTGGGATATTCCATATTTTCTCTTATTGGGTTTCAAGAGGGTCATGTTTGCCAATATTTTTCAGAGGGTCTTAAGGGCCAACCTAGGAAAGGTTGAACCCCGCAAAAGGCGAATCCTACATACGAAACGGGGGGTAAAGATCGTCCTTCGAACCCATTTTCTGGGCTCGCCGCCATTTTCTCGGCCAGGCGACAGAGGACAACGCTTGGAGGTAAAGAGGAGGTGGGGCGCGGTGTTTGGGGGTGCTGGGCGGTTGTGTACCGTACATCAGCATGGTGGAAGAGACGTGATTGGTTTCGGTTTCATGGCAGCTGGAAAGTTGAATGCTGCCGGGAATTTCATGTCTTCCGGTGTGTGTAGCAGTTCGACTGGATCGAAAGCTTACATAGAGCAACCACAGCTTGAGACCCCCTGTTGTCAAGAGACATTCATCGGCTTGCAGCACCTACTTGTGACTGCTGGTGCTCGGCAGGGATTCGGAGAGTGAAAGCGAGCCTGAAGAAACAGAAGAGGACCCGCCACAGCTTCTTTTGAGGGTTTTTTTTACCCGCTGGGTCTTTGAACATCCTGCTTGGTAGAAATCGAAACCCATTGTTGTACTTTTGTATCGCATGTTTCGATGCCGACGCACATAATTTCGGGGCTCCTGATCACAGTAGGGTTTACAGGATGTCGACCATTCGTTGCCAAGACACAGCCTGCTAGGAGAGACGGCTGCGACAGGCACAGGAAGAGGACCCTCCGATGCTCCTTCCACACCCCTGCTCTGCAAACGATGTCGGTACGCTTAAGCCACGAACTCGAGCACCGTGAAGCTTTGTTCAACCTACGGTCTTTTTTTGGGGCTTAGGGTTTAGGGTTTAGGGTTTAGGGTTTAGGGTTTAGGGTTGATCTGAATCCTGGTACGGCGGCTGTAGCTTCTGTTCCCTGCCAGGAGAACTACAGGCAGGGCACTTCGGGCCCCAAAACGTTTGCTCTCAAAGCTTGCTGCGGAGATTGGGGGTTAAGGGCGGTTGAACAGCACAAGCCCGAGGCTTGGGCAGCTTTGGGGTTCAGAGTTTATACTTTGGGGTGCCGAGCCTCAGGGTCCAAGCCGCCCCTGAAGCCCTAAGCCCTAATCTTGCCTTCCTTGTGCGAGTGTGAGCGTCGAAACCCCAAATTCTAAACCTCTAAACCCCTAAACCACTCCCATGATTCCTGGAATACGTCCCATCATGAAGCCTTCAGGCAACCACTTCGGCATAGTGGTGGAGCGGATTTCTCCGAAGATGTTGCATAGTTAACCCCGCATTGCTGTGGCTAGTCGGGTGGCAAAAAAATCCTAAACCCGTAAACCCCAAAACCCTCAACCCTAAACCCTAAACCCTAAGCCCTAAGCCCTAAGCCCTAAACCCTAAACCCTAAACCCTAACCCCTAATCCCTAATCCCTAAACCCTAAACCCTAAATCCTAAACCCTAAACCCTAAACCCTAAACCCTACCCGCCCTAGTGGCAGGGAATGGGTTGAGCGTGAGCTGGCTTCCATCGCCGATGGCGATTTCCGCGACTATAGCGATTCCATGTTCCGAGGGGGAGCTGCCTCTGGACCGGATTATGCCGGATTGACGCTTAGGGTTTAGGGTTTAGGGTTTAGGGCTTAGGGTTTAGGGTTTAGGGTTTAGACTGTCACATCCCACAAGCGCCCCAAGCCTACATCTCCGAAGGCTTCCCGCTTACTATTTACTCATCTATGCAGGAACTAAGGAAGTATCCTGCATAACCCTTGACGGGGTATGTGCACGGGGGAGATGGCACTGAATTCCCCAGTTCCCACGAAGAACCAGCAGGGAAGAACGAAGCCCTAGAATTCCCAAAGCCCACACCCCCAAACCCTAAGCCCTACACGAAACCCAAATTAACACCACATGAACCCTATATACTCCCGGCATATGCCCTAACTACACGCCCAATAGAAACTCGGACCCTCTAAACCCTAAACCAAAAACCCCATATGCACGCCCAGGAAAGCCTCCTGAATCCCTTTCGGCGCCGTCAGATCATGCTGCAGGTGGCAGAGGTTGGACAAGGGTTTGCTGCACATCAAACCCTAAACCTTAAACCCGAAACCCGAAACCCTAAACCCTACACCCCAAACCCCAAACCCTAAGCCGTAAGCCCTAAGCCCTAAACCCCAAACCCCAAACCCTAAACCCTAAACCCCAAACCCGAAACCCTAAACCCTAAACCCTAAACCTGAGCCCGGGTGAGGTGCTCTGTGAACATGATGGAAGCTATTACTATTGGGTTTAGTTAGTGGTATTTAGTGGTCAAACGTCGTCATGTCTGCACGGTGACCTCACGGTAGCGGATGCCCAAAACTGAAGCCAATTTTTCCTTTTCGTCAGTTTAGGCTTTACAGTGTGGACTTAGTGCATTTGATTGCCAGGCTGCTAGGCTGGTGACAGGAAGCAGCACCCCCACAACCCCAACCCCTAAACCCTACAGCCATAAAGCCATGGTACTTTATGTTCCTGAGCAAGAGGTCCAGATTACCCGGCAAGTCGCGCTTAGACTTAGACATGGTCATTCCGGCAATGCGTCAGGCCTTTGGTCTCTACACGCTGTCTCCAGCTGGTTATGGGCGGGTGCCTCCCCGTGCCAAGACTTCACCGAGCTCCTCAAAAGCCTGTACAGCCAGCGCGGAACCCCTGAAGCCTTAACCCGAAAAACCCTAACCCCATATCCCTGAACCCAAACCCGTATCCCTATAAACCCAAACCCGTATCCCTATAGACCCTCAAGCCTTTCCCCCAAACACCAGAAAAGGAGAATGAGAGTCGAACGGAGCACTGTTAGCATGTCTCTGCCTCCTCATGAATAACGGGAGGGTGTAGTTGTCTCGGTTTCGTTAGAGTTCTTGCCCGGCAGTTCAGACAGGCCTGGATGCAAAAAAAAACACACACCCCTAAAGAACTTCATGTGAGAGCCGTTTGGCAACAGAGCTGCGCGTGTATGCCCAAGCCATGCAACCACTGTGCCCCATTTTGTGTATCCCTGGAGCTGCCTAAGCCCTAAACCCTAAACCCTACAACCCCCCGAGCAGCTCAAGTGTTTGGAGTCTAGGGTTCGTGGCTACAGGGTGTTCCCATCCGACACACCGAAACCCTCTGGATCGTACTGAGGTAACAGCACAAGCCTGGAGAGAGCCCCGGGTATCGTGGAATCGGCCATAATGCCAGATTCTGGATGTTCCTTGGGCTTAAAGTTGTTCCTGGAGCTCAGGTCCAGGTTTCGGGGTTCGAGTTTGGGAGGGGCAGCGAGATGAATCCGCAGCTATATGCAGCAATGGCTTTTGCAGCCGATGTGTACTCGAGCGGTTTTGCCCTCACAAAACTCCACTCCGAGCCTACGTGCAAACATTTTTCCTTAGTAGTAGCAAGTAACCTTTAACCTTTTTTGGGTTCTTATATTCCCTTATGTCCCCAAACAACTGCCAAAAAAAACAAGAATGAGGCTTAGGCCCCTTAGCTTAAGCCCTCCCCTCCCCGAGGCATGAGGATCTACAACATGCAGTCTCACACCGCGGCTGCCCGACTGGGTTGCGGTTTCATTTATGGGGTTTAGGGTGTAGGGTGTAGGGTGTAGGGTTTAGGGTTTAGGGTTTAGCGTGTAGGGTTAGGCGGTTTAGGGTTTCGGGGTTTGGAGTTGCGGCTTCAAACTTGAAAGGACTCTTCTTGTAGCGGATCAAGGGGTTCGGGAGCTCTAGGCTCTGTAATTTCTAGCTATTTTGGGTGGCAGGCCTTTCTTGCTTTTTGGCTTGGATAGGCTTTCTTGATAGACCTAACCAACACACAAGGGTGCCATGTCTCTTGATGCCTCGGGCCTCCTAGCAAGAGAAGGGCACGCAGTGCGCATTCTGACTGCAGTCGAGGAAGCCCTGTAGCCTCTAGCCATTCTGGGGTACTGCAATCCTTGTCTGAGAGCACACCTGGTCTTCACCGGTATATACCACGGCCAGTAGTTCGAAACCAAAGCTAGGCTTGAGCTGCGAAGTTGGGAGCGAAGTTGGGCCTTCTAAGGCAATTGTTTTGTGGGGTTTTTCGGAGAACATCAAGAGCACCCTAAACCCTAAACCCGATTGTTCGGAGCCTGCTTGGGAGGCCCTGATCGCAAAGTTTGAGGAAGTAAAGAAGGGAGGTCGTCTCGTGCTCAACGACATTGGGTACACAGAATCTTGGTCGGAAAGATTGTTGTGTAAGTCCATGTGGGAGGCATCAGCAGATGCATCACTTGCGGGCGGGCCGATGTATGCTGCTCAAATCAGGTCTCAGATAAATGAAACAGCAAACCAAACCCCCAGCCTTGTAAACCCAGGGCGTAGTTCCCGTTTTACCCCGAATCCGAACCCCTGACATCCCAACCTCATCTCAGCCTGACTTGTTATTCACTTTGTTAAGACTATCGAGGCGCACCCCACATAGGATAACGTGTCATTGTGGACTTGTCTGGCGGGTGGCAAATTCCTGACCAGTACAAAACTGGCCCAAGCGTTCACACCGAGATTCTTACAATGTGGCACTTAGTGGAGCTCTGCAGCCACCACACGGAGCCAAATGGCAGCAACCAACGTCGAAGAAGCAGGACCAATCCAAAGCGCCAGACCCTAAACCCTAAACTCTAAACCCTAAGGTGGTTTGGGGATGAACAGTGACAAAAAGCTAGAACTGAAGCATCGAAGCCAGCGACCACGCCCACGACCTTAAGGTCTTCTACACTCTGTGGCCCAGCAGTACCCATATTCCCGTCTTTTAGGGTCGGTTCTCTTGTACCTAAACCCAATTGAGCCAAAGACACCTTGCGGTTCTCGAGTTACTGGGCAACCTAGTGCAATCAGACGGCTCGTGATTGCACTCTTTTCATCCTCTGTGCCGTTCAGGCCGAAGACCTGCGCGAGCGAACTGTATCAAAGTCAGTTCTAACCCATACAAGGCCGTGCGGATACACAGGCAGACAACGCAGTAACATTGCATCATCGGCCGGCGACACTGCATTTCAAATTCAAACAATTACAGGCTGGCTTTTGGAGGCATGCAGAGCTCCACTTGTCCTCTGCTTCGTGCCCCAAACTCAATCCATGGAGGTCGCATCGGTATGCCCAGTAGCCACGTATGTAAACTTCTGCCGGAAATCGGGCCTCGTTGGCAACCAGCCTGCAGGTAGCATGGAATTCAGCATTTCAGCCTTTGCAGCTCCCAAGTTTCTGTCTGAGAGTTCATGTCTTGAACGGGATGATGAAGTCTGCGGATTGAAAAGGGGACGAGTTAAAACTGTCAGATCTGTAACCACTGTAATCCCTTCCTTGGCAACAAAACACCCCTAATTAATACAAACAAACTCCCTGGCCCGAAAACCCGGTCCAGCAGTCTTCCCCTGAATTGTTTTTGCAGAATAAGCCTCAAACCTAGTAGCCCTACTTGAAACCTGCTCTATGACAAGTGACTGGGGCTGTTTGGAGAGAACACACCCCCTCCCCCCCCAAAAAAAAAATGAAAATAAAACCCTTTTGAGGGTTTTGTTTTTGTACTACGGGGGGGAGGGGGGGGTGGTGCGGGGCGTTTCATGTTAGGGGGGGATGGGCCATGTATGGCACCAGATCCATATTTGTCGCGTTTCGCGCTCGGCTGGGTTGGTAGAGTTTTCGCAAGAGTTTTCGCAGAGGCGGTATGCAGGGGCTAAAGAAAACTTGTTCTTAAGAGGAGGTCCAGGATGTGGCAGAGACACAACCCTAAACCCTAAACCCTCCCTGGACTGACCGTCGGTTCTCCCTAGCCTCAGTGTCAGAGCAGGGGCCACTGGTCTTGTCCACCATGCAGGGGGCTTGAGGCCTTGGTGTGGATAGTGCGGTTTAGGAGCCCTGAAACCCTCAAAGGCCCGAAGTATTCCAAAACCCTGGATTCCTAGATGCCCAAGAATCCTAAACCCTTAAAATTCCGCCCCCCCAAACAAAAAAAAAAACTCTGAGCGGGTTGCTTGGCGCAAGAGCCCAAGGAGGCGCAAAAGGCTGTGGCGCACCTCGTCGCGCTGGATCGGAGCCTGGTGGCCGTCTTCGAGAGACTCCGTGGTCGCAGTTATTGGCAGGGTTTGGGGCCAAGTTTGGGGTTTAGGGTTTGAGTGTTCGGGTGAGGAGTCTGGGTTGAAAAATTTAGGGTTTAGGGTAGGGTTTTGGGTTTAGGGTGGGTTTATAGGGCATATAGGGTCTAGGATGTTGTGAGATGTGGGCGGTAGGGCTGGGCCTAGAGTCCATGTGACGTTCAGAACTGGACTGCCAGCATACCGCGTAACCTGATTTGAGCTAGGTGGTGATGCTCCTGATGAGGCAGACCTGTAGCACAACATATGAACAACCTGGAACAGCCCTTATTGGCACCAGTTGCTCAGACAAAGGCCTCCGATACAAGCTCCTTGCGCGCCCCCCCCCCCCCTTCGTAGTAGCACGGATACCGCCACTGCCACAAATGGACTTGCGCACGAGGGCACAACTGTAGCATACCCCAGTATCAAAGCTTCTCGAAGGCCGGTGTAAGCAAGCCTTAGGCCTTGGAGTCATGGAAGCCCTCAACCTGCATGTGGGCAGAGAATCTCCCCCAAACCCTAAACCCCAAACCCCAAACACTAAACCCTAAACCCTAAAACCCTAAACCCTACAAAACCTTAAAAGTGCGCCCAGAATGGGGAGCCGGCGAGCGCTTGGTGGTGCATGACACTGGATCCTTTGCTTCGGGCTTGAACTCCCAGCTCGACTCCCTCAGTGAGGGTGGGCCCGACAGTTAATGCGTAGGGCGCTTCAGGGCTAAAAAAAAGGTGGGGAGCCCTAATATGTGCAGTATCCCAAAAAATTCTCCCGTTCTCTCTAAGGCTCTCTAAAGGGGTCAGGCCGAAAGGCTTTGGGTTCAGGGCACACGACGTGCTGATTTAGCTTCCAGGGAATCCCGAGTCGCTGCCTTCGGGAGTTGTTTCGGTGCCCTTTGAACTGGCCAAATCCCAACGGCAGCGTCGATTTCTTTCATGTTCTCAGCGCATAGGGGGACGCTTGGTAACCCCCCGTCCAGAAAAAGAACTACAATAGTCCTTAATCTGGGGCCACCAAGACGGGTACCCCTATTGGAAGCCCCCCATATCGGCATCATTTGCCACTGCGCAAAGCCGGGAGCGTCTGGAAAGCACAACCATGGCACGCAATGGATGTATTCCCATGCAATCCAAAGCTCAAGGACAAACGTAGGCGTCCACGAGGTTTGCCCGGGCAGCGCTTTGACGCTCGCGGGAGTTTCTGTAACCTCTCCAACCTTGGCAAATGGTTCGAGCAGCCTAACTGTTCGAGGTACGCGGAGGTTTGTGAAATCCTTCCCACCTTCGAAAAGGGCTTATGTTTCCGCAGCCCGTGTCCCTTCTGCATTCCCACAGCTTCGCAGTATCCCGTAATTCAGCCTTCGCACAATGCTTCGCACGCTTACAAGCCCTGCAATCTCATATTAGGGTCCTCGCGGTCCCTTCAAAACCATGATGCCCATTACGAGTTTAGGGTTTTGGCAGGAGTTCACCCTGGCAGGTGATTCCCTCTCGCTGGCCACTAACCTCTCAAACATTGAGCTGAAGTACGCCCGGCACTCAGCGCACACAGGGAGTCGTTGGCTTTTACATGTATACGAGGCCCTAAAATTTTTCTTTTGCAAGGAGGAGTGCTCGAAACCATCGAACAACACTTCTTCACTTACTTGGATTTGCTGAAGAGGGGATTCGGCTCGAACAAGTGCTCTCCAGGAAGGGTCGTCGTGTTGTTGAGGGGGAGACACCCCCCCCCCCACTGCTCCTTTTTTGCGCGAAAGGATTGGTTGAAATCAAGGGCCCCCTTCCCCCCCACCCACCCCTATTTACCTATGTGTTTAAAGATTTTTCCTTATCAGACGGACCACCCCAAAGGGATCCTAGACTGAACACCCTCGACCTGATCCGAGGTCCAGGCTCAAGCCGCTAAGATGGGGATGACCGTCATCCGGCAGAAGAATGAGAACGGGGAGGAGTTCCTCAAGGACCTCCTGACAAGCTGAAGGAACTTTAGCCCTGGCAGGCTCAGAGGCTCCAATGTCTTTTTGTTAGGCAGTATTTCCGTGCATTGCAACAGGGATTCTAGTGTATGACGACTTCAATATTCCTCTCGTCGGGAATAGTGCCCGTAAATTGCGATGGGGATTCTACTGCAGGCTTCGATGAGGCATACATCGAATACATATCCCTGAATAGCACACGAGTCTCTGGGCACCTGCATTGGTAGAAGCCCCGAATGCTCGGGTCTACATATTTCTGCCAGCTACATCCCTTAAGGCTTACTTGCTCCAAAATCACTGTTGTTGTGTAGGACTGTGCCTCTCCTGCCGCCACCCCCCCCCCCCCCCCCCCCCCCTCCTCACTTCAAAACGCTTCATATGAGGACAATGACAAGCTTGAACCCTCTAAACCTTACCAAGCCCCCCAAAAAAGCAGAGCAACCCCCTTTTTCCTTTTCTCGCCTTGACTGTCATGCGCAGGTGTTCAACATGCCCCCTCCTCAGATTCGTCTGTGCGTATATCTGGATCAGGGGACGGAAGTTGCAGTAGTCTGGTTCTTGCATTGGTACTCAACACCCTACACCCTTCATGCCCCTTAAACCCTAAACAAGCATGCCCTCGGCTGCCCCTTGGTTATGTCAATAGAAGTCCTAAAGCTATGATTGTATAGATTCCAAGTATATGTATCCATATATATATATATATATATGTATCTATATATATATATACAAAAATGTATATATATATATGTATCTATACGCATAATTAATTCCATATTCTGTGTCGCAACTTGCCCTGGGGCCCGAGGAATGACTTCGCCAATACCGTCCGTGAGAAGCTGGCTGATGTTGGTGTGGGAAGTCGGGCCATCTTCAAGAAGCTTTGCTTACAGGAGTCGCTGAAGGCTTTAGGGTTTAGGGTTTAGGGTTTAGGGGTCTGACATTCCCCACCCAGCCCAGATGGAAAAAAAGGGTTTAGTGTTTAGGGTGTAGGGTTCATCTCCACAATCACCCCAAGGTTTGGGAAAAGGATTTGGGCGCTGGGGTGGACCTCAGTTCCGGGCTGACAAGAGTTTATGTTTTATGTTGGGTTTATAAGCTTCAGGAGTGTTGCTTGTTACAGCATGTGACCGAACGAGTCGCAGTGAGTTCTGAGTACGATCATTTCATAATCATCACCATTACGTGCACAACTGCGCATCTGCCCGCATCTATTTCTCACACATGATGATTGATTGTTACCATGTTCCCGTGATTTTCTCGTTGGTTTGAATCATTTTCCGCCTGCTGACCCCTCTGGCAGGTGAGAAGAAGATCCCCCAAACTCTTACAAAAACCACGTTTGGGGTCCCAGGACGTAAGATGTGGGCCTCAGCTTTGTCGCCCAAGCCGTGAAGGTTAGAATGGAGATTGGTTTCAAGTGCTTGTAAGATGCCAAAGTGCACCTATGGTTGCGGAGGCGCCATCAAACGCTGCCTCAGGTGGCAAACCACTCGGCTTAGGCCTATCAATGATAGCGCTGTTTGTTCATGACCTCTTGGGATGTTCCCCCTTTGCTAACAGTCCTTAATGAGATTATAGTACCGCCTATTGTAATCCCTATTAAGGACTGTTCGTACAAGGGGGGAACATCCCAAATGACCTCCCTCAAGCGTCTGACATGTAGGGAGGTGGCCTCAGCGGTGCTTTGGGGTCTTTCAGGTGACGGGAGGCCTCCAAAACCACTTACAGAACCTCCGATGGGTTTTGAATCAGCCGGCCAGGGAGGTCGAGTCGCTTAGGCACCACACCCAGCAGTGTTTTAGGCCTAGGAATTTGTTTTTAGTAGGGTCATCGACAGGAGCGAGAGGTGGTTCACACCGTCGCCAGAGAGATGGGCCTGCACAGCTTGGAAGCCGAAGGCCAGGTAATACAGGGGCCGGAAGAAATACTGATAGTATTCCTTTTATGGTCCCTATATTATATATATATATACTAGAATAACCCCCTGAACCCCTGTTCTAATTATTAAGGCCCCTACAATACGGAGTCCTTTCCGTAAAGCCCTGCACTTGGGTTTGAGGCGGCATGGGTTTCCGAAAATTGGGTGGGTGATTGACTCTTGGGAGCCCGCAGCCGGAAAGGGCCAGAGGCCCCAAAGCCTCATTTAGCCCGCTGAAGCTTGCCACAGCTTTGAGCGTATTTTGAGGCGATTCCCTCAAGAATGTGATCGTGTTGTCCAGCACCTCGCCTTATTTCTGACTGCAACTGCTTGCATCCCCCTTTTTTGAGGGCCCTCCTGCTCAGGAGGACTCTATTTACACACACACACACACACATACGCATATATATATATATATGTATATGTATATGTATATGTATATGTATATATATATATATTTATTTATTTAATTTATTTGTTTATTTATTTATGTATTCAGTATTTTTGTCTTCATTTTTAGTGTATATGTATGTATATATATATATATATATGAATATCTATATCTGTATCTACATGTATGTATATGGGCTACAAAGGGGCCAGGGGTTTCCTACAGCCCCTTCATTGTAGTTCCGTGTTGAGGATAGTCTGGCAATCTCTGACTGAAAGGTCACTTTGGGGTACTTTATCATCATACGGGGCCTTAACATCCCGGGCACGAAGGGGGCAACAACTGTAGAGAAGTGCCCCATCTGTCAGCCAACCAAGATGTGGAGTTCCTTGCGGAGCAGGCGCACCGCAGAGTACCCTGAACCCTAACTGTTAAACCTTATACCTTAAACCCTAAACCCTAAACCCTAAACCCTAAACCCTAAACCCTACAAGGGGATTCTGAACCGAAGGTGCCCTGGGAGTTGAACGGCAATGGCCGGGCAGTGGCCGTGTTTTCAACGTGGGCTTCCATGCTGGTGTTCCCCCCACCCCCTTCCTCCCTCAACAGTTGAGGGTCTGTTTGACCAAAGGGCTTTCAAGAGAATTCCTCCTTTCCGGCTTCTTTCTACGTAACTTTCGATCCCGGGCCGCCTTTCGAAACAGGGTTCGGGAAGGCAATGCGGTTGGACCTTTGTTCGCAATGAGCAGCCCTCAAGTTGAGAGTATGTATTGAGGATCCCTCTCACGGTTTGTCCAACTCCTGAACGACCCTGGGACCCTTGGGAATCCCAACCGAAGAACAGATAGCGACTTGAACCAGTCCTAACCACCCTAAACCCTAAACCCTAAACCCTAAACCCTAAACCCTAAACCCTAAACCCTTTAACTTCTCATCGTGCAGCTTCCGCGACTGCTGCAACCTTTCTTCCCCGCGCATCTCGCCTTGTTGTCCGTGGCAAGCAGGCAGCGAGGATATCCCAAGCTGCAGATGCAGGTCCGGCTGCCAGAGAGATCCTAAACCCTAATTTCCTGAATATCTTGTTTGTGCGCACAAATCGAGAGGCGGGAAGTGCATGTTGCTTGTCTAGGCGGTGGGGAGTTCATCCTTCCGCAGACAGCCCAGCAGCAGAAGGCGGTGCATGCGGGGCGGGTCATAGATCACCAGCTGATCACTTTTGAGATCTGGGCAGTACTCGTATACAGTAGTCTTGCGTCTCAGGACTTCTGGGAAATGGCGGACAAGAATGGATTGGAGCTGGATACCAGCTACCACGGGCATTCGGCACGCATCTTGGATTGGTTTTGGCAGCCGGCTTAGGACCGGCATATATGAGGGGGTAATCTAAGCTTTGTACAGGCACTTTTGGCCCTAAGCCCTAAACCCTAAACCCTGACAATGAAAGACTACATATTCCATACGTGTAGTTTTATCCATGCGCTATGCATCCTTGCGAATCCAAGCTGTTCTTGGTTTGAGTCGACTCGGTGCCCTGATTGCTGTTGTCTTGCGGAGTGCGGACCTGACGCATATATGAATGTGACATATGCTTCTTATGCATAGCGAACAAGAAGTAGTGCTGTAGCATGATTCTACTTGTGTGAGTTTGACATGTGCTCCGTTACTTTTCTGCACATAAAGTGATAGTTGTAGACATTCTGAGGACTGTTGCCGGTTCCTGGGCTCCTTGTCTCCCTTTGTCTCCCGTCGTCTCCCGTCGTCTCCACTGTTTCTTTGACGTGCCTTTGACTGTTTGGGGTCTTCGGTGGTGTAATTTGTACTTGGGACTTCCTAAACCCTAAACCCTAAACCCTAAACCCTAAACCCTAAACCCTAAACCCTAAACCCTAAACCCTAAACCCTAAACCCTAAACCCTAAACCCTAAACCCTACAGCCCAGTGAGGCCGGTCCGATTTCAAAAATGGCGACGTGGTGCGCCTGGCCATGGCCAAGTCCCGGGATGCTCGGAAGGACCTTGGAAGGTTTAGGGTTTAGGGTTTAGGGTTTAGGGTTTAGGGTTTAGGGTTTAGGGTTTAGGGCTTAGGGTTTAGGGTTTAGGATGTCTAAACTGGAACCCTTAAACCCCACAGAACAAAGCAAAACAACAGCAGCAACGAAACCCCCTACCTGGGATGCTCTCCCTTATCTTGTCCTTAATAGGGATTATAATCGGGGGTACTGTAGTCCCCATAAAGGACTATTAGTATAAAGGTGGAACATCCCAACCCTCCACAAAGGTCTTCATGGTCGAAACTTAGGATGGATCCAGTGCCAGCGATGGCGAGGCCGAGGATGAGATCCTGACTGGCAAGCCAGGCAGCTTGGGGGCCTGGGGTTTAGGGTTTACGGTTTAGGGTTTTGCGGGTGTAAGGCGGTAAAATGGTTTGAAGGTGCTAAGGTGTTCAGGCTTCACGGGCTTAAAGTTGTGATGTTTATGCAGAAAATTTTTGGGCTTGCACCATTTAAGGTTTTTAAGGCTTGAACTAATTAGCCAGAGAGCCAGGTCGTGGCTGTCTGATTTTCCCTTTCGTGCTTGCTTCTGTTAAACGGAGTGTTGCATGCAGCCCGGCAAAGAGACCCAGCTGCAAAGAAGGGGTATTGTATGCGTCAGAGTTGATGTTTCCACAGCTTTGCAAGATACTTTTGGGATGTTGCCGGATGTTAGTGCTCCCCGAGGCCCGCACGATTCAGAAGACTTCAAATGAGAACCTTCTAGAGGGCAAGATCTTGCTGAATGATAAGTTTTCAGGGTGTCGATACTTTTTTAGCTTCCAGGGTGGTGAATGTGCAATCCACAGCTTAGCCCACGGCCTAAATGGAAGGCCCCCAAAGAAGGCAACGGCTACTTGGAGTGCCCAAAAGATGTTCCAGGGCTTTGCGCAAGGCGCTAATCGCAAGCTTGCTGCTCATATGATTGCACGCGACCTACATCTATTTATTGGGTTCCATAATACTCCTCCCTACTACTCCGTAAGGCTCCCTAAGCTTCCCTCAGGTTCCCTAGGTACCTACCCCCCCATGAACCCCTCTCCCTTAAGAACCCTATAGTATGTGCACATGGGCGGCTGAATGTGGCCAGGAAGACATGGCGACTGTGCGAGAATGGGG